TTAGCAGTAATGGAGAAGATTTGGGAGCGAATATATGACTCGAGAAGTTATAATTCAGTAAGATAAATTTAGAAAGAGAAGCTGCTACCTTGACGTGGTGGTCGGGCTTGCCTATCGTGATGACTCCAACCGAGCTATACTGGCTGGAACATATGTTCCTGCAGGTCCTACCATGCCAGGCAGGTCGATTGGAGAACGATGAGACTAAAAGCAGCTACCCAAGGTCTGAGGGCAAAGTCGTACTGCTGACTGCAGAGGGGTGTTAGCAGTAAGGTGTTTCCCTCGGACAACCAGCATCTGCAGCGATGCTGCCTTCTCATAAGGAAGGAAGGGTTAGAAAAGGTCGACCCTAAAAATGTCACACCTCCCCTACCTCACGGATTTCCGTCTCCTTGGGTAAGGGTGCCCACTAAGGGCCTTTAAGAACGGAGCTAATCCTCTAAATACCTCTAATAAAAAGGCCGTGCGTGACCGGCCTCAAGCAGTTGTCCCGTTGGACTCTGCGGTCACGCACCAACACTAATCCATCTTCCTTTTCAGGTTCGTCAAGAAACAACCTTCCACGGTGTGGGCAGCCGGGAAGTGATAACCGCCCTCATACCCGTAACAGCACACGAGACCAAATTGTTCAAAATCAAATCCTTCCTAAATTCCTTAATACCTCTCTTATCTCCACAACTAACTCTTCTCACATTCATTCATCACAGTGCACAGCTAATGCAAACGATGCGAGTTTGCGAAACGTCGTTCCTGGTCTCCTTAAACCTCTTTCTAAACTACATGTTGGAGCATTCAATGTACGGACATTGTGTCAAATAGGGCAACAGGCGTCATTAGCTAGGACTTTAGAATCTCGTTCCATCGATGTGTGCTGCGTCTCGGAAACGCGCATACAGGATCCGAGTAGCATCACTCATTTGACCTCACCATGTCAAGATAAAGAAGCAGCTCGATTTACCCTTCGTGTATCCGGTAACCCTGATGCTGCTTCCAGGGGCCTCGCCGGTGTAGGTATAGCATTGAGTCGTAGGGCAGAACAATCTCTCCTTGACTGGATCCCTGTAGATAGTCGCTTGTGCGCCGTCCGACTGAACGGGACAGTAAGGACTCGGAAAGATAGGGACACTCGTCGTTGCCTCTTCGTCATATCAGCCTACGCCCCCACTGACTGCAGCCCAGATGATGTAAAAGATGAGTTTTACAGAAAGCTTTCGGATCTCCTCCAAAAAGTTAAGCGCTCTGATATAGTTATAATGGCTGGTGACTTCAATGCACAAGTAGGTAGACTGAGTGAAAATGAAAGACGCCTAGGTGGATGTTACGGTCTCGCGGCTCAAAGAACAGACAATGGTGACCGTCTGTTGCAACTGTGCTCAGATAACCAACTATTTCTAGCAAACACTAATTTTAAGCATAAGGAAAAACACCTTTTGACCTGGCGACCCCCGAAGTCGTCTGAACGTTGGACACAACTAGATCATATCGCCATTAGCCACCGATGGAGAGGTTCGATAGAGGACTGCTGCTCGTTCTGGGGCACATGTTTAAATTCAGATCATGCCCTAGTGCGAGCACGTATCTGTTTGAGGCTTACTGGACGTAGGAAAGACACCGTAAGAAAGCCTCTTAGGGCTTTACTTGATGATAATCAAGCTAAGAAAATATTTCAGGAGGAACTAGAAAAACAGTTAGGCGGCCATGCAAGTGATTCCCATCCTGAAGCAGGTTGGAATGATATAAAGAAGGCTGTGGAAACAGCAGTGATATCTGCTAGCAAGGTAAACCATAAGGCTAGGATGAAGGCGTGGATTTCAGTCGCATCCACCGAACTGATGGATGCACGAAAACGCATCCCACCTGACTCTGAACATGATGAAGAGCGTAGTCAGCTTAGGCGCAGACTTATAAAAAGCCTACGTAACGACCGCGAACAGTGGTGGGTGGCGAAAGCAAAAGCGATGGAAAAAGCAGCGGCGATAGGCAACACTAGACAACTTTTCCGCCTTATCAAAGAAACTGGTATTAGGAACCCAAATGTGAGTGAGACTATTTCGGAAAAGGATGGCCTTATCTATTCTCAATCCAGGAGACTGGACCGATGGGCAGAACACTTTAGGGATCAGTTCAACTGGCCTCGAGCCACACTCCGGTTGCCCACGATCACCAGTCATCCTGAATGGCAAATCGATTTAAGTCCTCCCAGTTTACATGAAGTTGAGAAAGCTATAGGAAATCTAAGGGGAGGTAGAGCGGCAGGTCCTGATAGGCTTACCCCTGAGATGTTTAAGGATGGTGGTCCAGTTTTAACGGTTAGACTGACCGAGATCCTAGGTAGAATCTGGGAAATGGACGTAATACCATCTGACTGGTCTCAGTCGCTAATTGTCCCAATCTACAAGAAAAGACAGAAGTCCTCTTGTGACAATCACAGGGGAATAAGTTTAACTAATATAGTTTCTAAATTGTTAGCCTCGATTATACTTAGACGTCTAACTAGAGCTCGTGAAGAGCAGACTCGAGAAAACCAGGCTGGTTTTCGACCTGGACGTGGTTGTATAGACCACATCTTCACACTACGACAGGTCCTGGAACACAGACACACATTTAGACGTCCGACAATAGTCGTGTTCCTGGACCTTAAGGCGGCATTTGACTCAGTGGATCGTGAGGTTCTGTGGCAGTGTCTGTCATTGAAAGGTGTACCAAAGAAGTACATTAACCTTATACAAGCACTCTACTCTAACACCACTGGTCGGGTGAGAGCATATGGAGAACTGTCATCTGAATTCTCTACATCAAGTGGTGTCCATCAGGGCTGTCCACTCTCTCCATTCTTGTTTAACTTTGTCGTAGACATCCTCTTAGAGTTAACATTAAGCTCGTCAGATTTTTCAGGGGTTGACCTTCTACCAGGGAAGTCGCTTACTGATCTAGAATATGCCGATGACATAGTTCTATTCGGTGAAGACGCTGACAAAATGCAGAGTCTTCTGACTACCATAAGCAACAATGCGAGCATGTTCGGGATGCGGTTTTCCCCCTCGAAATGCAAAATGTTGCTTCAAGATTGGGTTACATCGGCACCTGAACTAGTGATAGGGAGTGAAGTAGTCGAGCGTGTTGATAAATTCACTTATCTGGGGAGTCTCATCAGTGCTGACGGTCTGGTGACTGACGAAATCTCAGCTCGGATACAGAAAGCTCGATTGGCCTTTGCCAACCTGCGTCACTTATGGCGTAGGCGTGATATCCGTTCTCTAACCAAAGGACGGGTGTACTGCGCAGCAGTTCGTTCCGTTCTCTTATATGGCTGTGAAACATGGCCGTTAAGAGTAGAAGATGTTCGTAGGTTACTAGTATTCGATCATAGATGTTTAAGAAGCATTGCTCGTATATCGTGGGACAGCCGAGTAAGCAATGCTGTCGTTAGGAAACGAGTACTAGGTAAGGATGGCAGATCAATCGATGAAGTGGTGAAACTTCATCAGTTGAGGTGGTTGGGACATGTGTTACGTATGCCTAACCACCGACTGCCTCGACGAGCTATGTTTTGTGGTGTAGGAGTAGGTTGGAAGAAAGCTAGGGGCGGCCAGACCAAAACATGGCAGAAATCCATGAAGTCACTGACAAGTGGACTGAGTCATGAAGGTAGATGTAGACTACCTGGTTGGGGTCCGCGAGACGAAAGTCACCAATGGTTAGAGACCTTGAACGACATGGCTCAAAATCGTTTGCAATGGCGCAGGTGCATCCACTCTTTGAGCTCTCTCAAATCCTAATCTTCTGGATTAGCCAGCACCCTACCTTTGTCTTTCTAACCTTATCTCACTGAATTATATTTTTTGAATAATATCTTCAAACCCTAGTCTTCTTTATTAACATTAATACCTCTACTATCTTTATCACTATGGGATTTGATTTGACATTTGCGTTTCTGTGCTAATAATGTGGTATGGCAACATGAACTTATGTACATACGTACGAAGTTCTACGTTGCAACTGACTGAGAAAGAGAAAGGTAGAGATTATGAGGAACGCAGAACGGAGTGGAATGCACCTGCGCTATTGCAAACGATTCTGAGCCATGTCATTCACGGTCTCTAACCATCGGTGACTATCGTCTCGCGGACACCAACCAAGTAGCATACATCTACCACCGCCATAAACTTTAAGCAAAAAAAAACGCTGTAAGAAAGAATAAGTCTGTTTACGTAAAACCAAGGTTGACTAACCGAACAATCCTTCGATTGCAATGTGAATAACTCACATATCTGAATCGATTTTGTAAGTATGCAAACGTTTCGATTACAGTGAACACCAACCACCATCTGACTCTCTCACTCACTATATTACCAAATATCATATAATAACAACTTATTTGACGTGATAAAATGTTCCTGAAATAACGATCAGATTTTTTTTTACTTTACGCTTAATAAGATACTGATTTGCTTGAGACGAATAGTGTACAATCCAATCACTACATACTAAATATTTATTGCCTCAGTCAGCACTTTGTCTACAAGGCTTTCGCACAATTCAGATCAAGAGAACACGTGACCCACCTGACTAGAATGTCAAATTGTTATCAATCAAGAATTAGCATATCAAAAATACCTGTCATTCTATCTAGCCAATCTATTAAAAGAAATAATCCAATCACTCACTACACTTTTTCTCTCGCCCACACAACAGTATTATCACTTCAATACATATACATTAATTTTATTCAACATACAGCAACATGTGTTGTGGTGAACTGTGGTGAATGTTCACAGTAAGTGTAACTCACAGTTTATTGACTATTATTATTATTATTATTATTATTATTATATAAATAGTAGATAACTGTGTATTAGAATGTTTCTATACAGCGTCTATTGTAAGCTTCTGTTTAATTCATATCGCCTCTTAAATCACCCGACCATAGCTGCTTACTTGTCGTAGTGGTCAAGCTTGCCTATTGTGACGACCCAATCGAGCTATATTGGCTGGAACATATGTTCCTGAATGTTCGACCATGCTAGGCATGTCGATTGGAGAACGATCAAACTAAAAGCACAGCTACTCAAGGTCTGAAGGCGAAATCGTACTGGTGACTGTAGAGGGGTTTAATGACAGTAGTAAGGTGTTTCCCTCAGATAACCAGCATCTGCAGCGATGCTGCCTTCTCACAAGGAAGGAAGGGATTAGAAAAGGTCGACCCTGAAAATGTCACATCTCATCTTACCTCACGGATTTCCATCTCCGGCAGTAAGACTTTTTAAATAAGAGCGGAGCTAGCACTTTAAAAACGTCTCATAAAATGCCCATGGGGGACCGGCCACCAACAGTTGTCCGTTGGGCTTCGCGGTCACGCTTCCAGGTAGTTAAGACCAACGCTAACCGAACCACCTTTCCCAGGTTCTTCAAGAAACACCCTTCCACGGTGTAGGCAACTTGGAGGTGACATCCGCCTTCATACCCGTAACAGCATGCGAGATCAAATTGGTCACAATCAAATCTGAAGATTATTTGCATAAGTTTAAATCAATCATCGATGAACGTTTGAGAGTACTCAACTGAAGACTGAACAAAAAAAGGCACAGGATCACAGAATAATGGTCGACATTCCAATGGATGAATGTAGAACGTAATGTTGAATAATTCGTCAACATTGCACACAATAAAGAATGCGTTATGTCATGTAATAATCAATCAGTCAGTCAGTTGCAACGTAGAACGTCGTACATAAGTGTGGTGCGCGCTACTTATAAGTAGTATATGACGTGAGTGTCAACGTAATGTCTGGCAGCAGAAGATGGGGGAAGATCAAGAAAGGAAGAGTGGGAACACAATGGAATTTTTATGAAACGCATGAATAAGTGAAATGTCAGATAATGGATTGATGATGGATTGAAGATTTGCAAATTAACGGTTACGATATGGTTTTCCTATTTTACTAAGTAACTCTGTAATTTTCGTTAAATACAATTCGGTTGCCCTCACCTGTGTTCTCCTTCACTACATAAGTACATCAGTTCATGTTGCCATACCACATTAGCACAGAGACACAAATTTCAAATCAAATCCCATAGTGATAAAGATAGTAGAGTTATAAATGGTTATGAAGAAGACTAGGGTTTGAAGATATTATTCAAGAAGTGTAATTCAGTGAAATAAGGTTAGAAAGACAAAGGTGGAGGTGCTGACGAATCCAGAAGATTAGGATTTTAGAGAGCACAAAGAATAGATGCTCCTGCGCCATTGCAAACGTTTCCGAGCCATGTCGTTCAAGGTCTCTAACCATTGGCGACTTTCGTCTCGCATAACCCAACCAGGTAGTCTACATCTATCAACATGACACAGTCCACTTGTCACTGACTTCATAGATTTGTGCCATGTTTTGGTTTAGCCGCCCCTCCTAGCTTTCTTCCAACCTACTCCTACAACACCACAAAACATATCTTATGTAATAATAATGAATAGATTGATAGCAGATTTTTTGTTTATAACTAACTACCTATTGAATACTGAATATCTTGATCGATTAACTAATTTAGGTGAAACCGCTGCGCCCAGTTCAAACTTCAAACTTCATCAACTTTGTTTTAGAGAGCGTAACTGGCTTGTATCACATCATATAAGATGGCTTTGAATTTAATTATTGGGAATACGCAGTTAGTAGTAATATGAGCACGGTATCAACTCGACAGTTAGGACACAGCTGGATGATCTGGACTTCGCAGATGACCTGGCTCTTCTATCGCACACTCAACAACAAATGCAAGAGAAGACGACCAGTGTAGCAGCAGTCTCTGCAGCAGCAGGTCTCAACATACATAAAGGGAAAAGCAAAATTCTCCGATGCAACACAACATGCACCAACCAAATCACTCTTGATGAAGATGCTTTGGAGGACGTTAACACCCTTACATATCTGGGCAGCATCATCGACAACCAAGGTGGATGCGATGCAGATGTGAGGGCGCGGATTAGCAAAGCAAGGGCTGCATTTCTACAGTTGAAAAATATCTGGAACTCCAAACAACTTTCAACCAAAACCAAAATCAGCATTTTCAATACCAATGTCAAGACAGTTCTACTGTATGGAGCGGAAACTTGAAGAACTACCAAAGCCATCATCCAGAAGATACAAGTATTTATCAACAGTTGTCTACGCAAAATACTTCGTATTCGTTGGCCAGACACCATCAGTAACAACTTACTGTGGGAGAGAACAAGTCAGATTCCAGTGGAGGAGGAAATCAGGAAGAAGCGGTGGAAGTGGATAGGACACACACTACGAAAAGCACCTAACTGCGTCACAAGACAAGCCCTCGCATGGAACCCTCAAGGCAAAAGGAAAAGAGGAAGGTCAAAGAACACATTAAGCCGAGAAATAGAGAAAGATATGAGAGGAATGAACAAACATTGGACAGAACTGGAGAAGGAAGCCCAGCACAGAGTTGGTTGGAGAAAACTGCTGGGCGGCCTATGCTCCATTGGGGGTAACAGGCGTAAGTAAGTAAGTAAATAAGTAATATAAGTACAGCTTTATATTTGATCACAATTGATATAAAAGCTTATTCATATTAACAATTCTTATTGTAACGAATAATATAATTGACTGTGTACCTCTCTCTCTCTCTATATATATATAAAACACAACAAAATAACTTACTTTTCATTAGACTATTGAAACGTTCTTCATGTACTGACCACATTGTTTGAATAATACAATTAACAGTGGATTTTAACACATCATATTGTTCGTTGATACTTTGAATTAAATTATTTTCATTTGATGAATTCTTATAATAAAAAAAGGCAACAATTCAAAGGTATGACGAAAGATGATGACAAGGACGATTATTAAAAAATAATAAAAAAGTTGTTAGTCAACGACAATGTACAACAGAGCTTGGCACATGTACGTACGTGCATACATCAGTTCCAGTTGCTAGACTACATACATTAGCACAAAGGAGATGATAGGATTGACATTGCAAATCCTATGGGGTTGTAGAGTTTGTCAGTCAGTCAGATGCAACGTAGAACTTCGTACGTAAGTAAGTACATCACCAGTTCATGTCGCCATACCACATCAGCACAGAGATGTAATTCTCAATTCACATACAATAGTAGAAGCGGTAGTAAAGGTATCAGCAGTAATCAGAGAGGTTAGGATTATAAGATATTATTCAAGAAATATGATTCAGTGAGAAACGTTTAGGGAGTCGAAACTAGAGGTGTTCAAGAATCCAGAAGATTAGGATTTGAGAGAACACAAAGAATAAATGCACCGGTGCCATTGCGAACAATTTTGAGACAAGTCATTCAGGGTCTCTCTAATCATCGATTACTAACATCTTGCGGACCCCAACCAGGTAGTCGACAATTACCAACATGGCTCGTCAATGATTTTATGGATTTCTAGCATGTTTTGATTTGGCTGCCCCTAGCTTTCTTCCAACCTATTCCTACACTACAAAACAAAGCTCTTCGAGGCAGTCGGTGGTTAGGCATACGCAACACATGTCCCAACCACCTCAACTGATGAAGTTTCATTACTTCATCTATTGATCTGCCATTCTTACCTAGCACCTGATTCCTAATAACAGCGTTGCTCACTCGGGTGTCCCACGATATACTAGCAATGCTTCGAAGACACCTATGATCGAAAACCAGTAACCTACGAATATCTTCTACTTTCACTGGCCATGTTTCACAGACATATAGTAGGATGGAGCGATGTATGTGTGCGAGTGTAAATGATTTTGAGTCATATCACTCAGCAATCACTTAATCACTTAGTTACGATTGTTGTGTACACTTCAAAAAGTCAGACAATCATAGTCAGTCTACCAATGAACTAACAACACGACTCAGACTGATATGTTGATCAATCAATCAACAGCAAAGTAGAACTTCGTACGTACGTACGTACATCAGTTCAACTTGCCGTACCATATTAGCACAGAGACGGAAGTATCAGTTCAAATCCCAGAGTGTTAGAGATAGTGGAAGTATTAGTAGCAATGCGGAAGATGAGGGTTCGACGATATTGTTCAAAAAGTATAATGCAGTAAGATAGAGATGATGAGGAATTCAGAAGGTTAGGATTTGAGAAAACACAAAAAAACGAATGCACCTGAGCCATTGCAAACGATTTTTAAGCCATGTCGTTCAAGTTCTCCCCTCTAATCATCGACTAGTATATCATTTCGCGGACCCCAAACTAGGTGGTACTCGACACCCATAAAAGCACACGAGACCTCTGCTAAAGTGTTATATTGGGTAGACATGACTACTGAACATGTGTATTATTATAACAAATGTGTTTGAAGCAACACATTGAAATATTTACAATGTAACTTTTTATTGAGATCACGGCTGTGAAATTAATTAACGTTCTCATACAGGCAAAACAAAGACAGCTTCTATTCTCGCAATTTTATCCGCTTTTTTTCTTGTTCTATTTGACAAAGATACTCCAAAAAAGTATCAGTGGAGTTACATTGTTGTCAAAGCAGATGAATAGTTGAGAACCTCTTTCACTTATGGTACGTTACATATACAGTACACATAGATAGATAGATTGATAGATTGATAGACATACACAAACGTATGTACAAACTCTCTCTCACACACACACGTACACTTATAAAGAATAGCTAGTAGCCAAAATAAATGGCTGAGGGATAAATGAACTATTCTGTTTTTTGACGAAAAGAATAGCTAAAGATAAAACGAATTTAATCGATAATCAGACATGAAAAAGCAGTAACAAGATCTGACTGCAATCATTTCGTATATATATATATATATATATATATATATATATATATATATATATATATATATATATATATATAACTATCAAATGAAAAACCAATGAATTACAGAACAGACTAGTGAATCTTCTCTGGTATGGGCTTTTAGAGTTAACATTATCCTCGTCTGAATTTTCAGGAGTAGACCTTCCTACCAGGGAAATCGCTTGCTGACTTAGAATATGCCGATGACATAGTTCTATTCGGTGAAGATGCTGACAAAATGCAGAGTCTTCTGACTACCCTAAGCAACAATGCAAGCATGTTTGGGATGCGGTTCTCACCGTCGAAATGCAAAATGTTGCTTCAGGATTGACTAGCGTCGGTACCTGAACTAGTGATAGGGAGTGAAGTAGTCAAGCGTGCAGACTGCTCCACTTTTCTGGGGAGTCTCATCAGTGCTGATGGCCTGGTGACTGACGAAATTTCAGCACGGATACAGAAGACTCGATAGGCTTTTTCCAACCTGCCTCACCTATGGCGCATGCGCGATATCCGTTTGCTACACGAAAAGGATGTGAAACATGGCCGGTGAGAGTACAGGACATTCATAGGTTGCTTTCCTTCGATCATAGGTGTCTCCGAAGCATCGCTCGTGTATCCTGAGACAACTGAGTAAGCAATGCTGCCATTAGGAAACGAGTATTAGGTAAGGATGGCAGATCAATTAATGAAGTAGTAAAACTCCATCAGTTGAGGTGTTTGGGGCATGTATTACGAAAGCCCAACCACGGAATGCCTCGACGAGCGATGTTTCGCTATGTGGGAATAGGTTGGAAGAAAGTTAGGAGCGGCCAGACCAAAATATGGCACAAATCCATGAGATCACTAACAAGTGGACTGAGTCACGTTGGTAGATATAGGCTATCTGGTTAGGATCTGCGAGACGTATGTCCACAACGGTTAGAGACCTTGAACGACATGGCTCAAAATCGCTTGCAATTCTGCGTTGTAACCGACTGACTGAATCTTTTCTGGTAGTTTTCTAGGATTCCAGTGGTACAATTTATCAAGATAATAAACAATATTTGAGATGTAACTCCACCAGTAGCCGTTCTAGGGTTACTACCATTGCTAAGCTCGGATAAAGCAGGTGGATTGGGCATACACATATGGTTAGAGATTCCATCTTGTAGAAATTCACATAACTCGTTAAAAGAAGCGCTAACCAGAAAAATAATTCGATGGTAGGTGGGCTGGCTATGCTGCATTAAGAGTAACAGGTGTAATTAATTTACAAGTTGTATATGATAACAAAGAAAGTCAGTCAGTCAGTGAGTCAATTACAACGTAGAACTTCGTACGTACATACATACGTCAGTTCAGGTCGCCATACCATATTAGCTTAGAGACGTCACTGTAATCTCAAATCCCATAGTGGTAATCAAGAAGATTATAATTGGAAGATGTGATTGGACAAGTATAATTCAGTGAGATAACTTTACAAAGAGAAAGATAGAGATGATAAGGAATTTTGAAGATTAGAATTTTAAAGAACACAAAGAGTGGATGCACTTGCACCATTGCAAACAACTTTGAGCCATATCATTCAAAGTCTTTAACCATCGGTTACTATTATCATCTCGTGGACCACAACCAGGTAGTCTACATCTACCAACATGACTCAGTCCACTTGTCAGTGACTTCACGGATTAGTGCCATGTTATATTGACATTTGTAAAACCGAACACTTCAGATGTCTGAGATGAAATTCTGTAAAGCAGGCATAATAGTCGACATCCATTTTCACTAAGCTCTAGGGGATAGTATAGTTGACTGCAAAATACCACATAGGTAGAATAGGGATAGAAATCTATCTACAACTGGCAGGTTAGAATGAACACCAACCGATTTTCAATAAAAACGTTAAAACAGTTCTGCTGTATGGGGCTGAAACCAGGAGAACTACCAAAGTCATTATTCAAAAGATATGAGTATTTATAAACAGTTATCTTACGTTCACCTGTTACCCCACCGACCAGCATTCTCTAACCTACTCTCTCTCCTGAGCTTTCCTTTACACTTTCATCCAATTATTGTGCAGTCTTCACATGTCTGTTTCCTATTCTCGGCGTAATGTGTTCTTTGGCCTTACTCTTATCCTTGAGGATTCTAGGTGAGGGCTTTTGTCTTGTAATGCAATTGCGTGATTTTCTCAATATCTGTCCTATCCACTTCCTCTAGTGCTTCTTCTTGATTTCATCCTCCACTGCAATATGGTTTTCTTCTCTCCCACGATAGGTTGTTGCTGATAGTACCTGGCCAACGGATTCGAAATATCTTGTGTAGACAACCGTAAATGAACACTTGTGTCTTGTGGACGATGGCTTTCATAATTCACCAAGTTTCTGCCTAATACAGCACAACTGTCTTGACATTTGTATTGTAAATTCCGACTTGGTGTTGGTTGAAAAACAGTTGTTTTGGGTTAAAAATGTTGTTCTTGCCTCGCCGATCCACGTCTTCACATCTGCATCATATGCACCGATAAGCAGTTATCTATGCAAGTGAATTCCGATCTGTTGAGAATAACTAGAAAGAAGAGCGCCTAGGACAACAGAGTTGGTTAGACCATTCTAATCGGGCAGCCTATGTTCCATCCACCAGGAGGTGTAAGTAAACAGGCTTAAGTGTCATACTAAGGAGAGAGAAATAAATAAGGTATACACACACTAAATCCAAAACTCAAATCAGTAAAAAAAAATTACCGTATTGTATAGATTGGCGATTTCAATGAATTGTTTTGCAGCTGGTAGCAGCAATAAACACGGTTCATTTTTATTTGGTCCAATTTGTAAAAAATTCGCTAGTTTACCAAGCCAAACACTTTGAAGTTGACATACAAATGGCTATTGAAAATGAAAGCAAAGAAAATGAGAAGAATAACGTTTTTTTTCGGATTAAATTAAAAGATGTAAGAAATGAAAAGTGGCGTTTGCAAACATTTTCTTGTGTTGGCATTTCATGTCACATTGAATTGGGATGATCTATTCGTGTGATCTAACTGTTGGGGACGTTAGAGCCTCCCTCAAAACTCACTTCATTAAAGATCGTAATTTTTGATTTTATTCATCGGTTGACCGGTTGACCTTGAGATTACATTTCACACCAGGAGAATCCTTGAGTGTTATTGGTTGATGTATTATTTTAGTACGCTAGTTTTGTGGCTCTCCGAAAGACGTTTCAATGATGTATAAATAAACTCGATTTGTGTTCTTGAGAACCTGATATTTTCTGGGTGCTTGTAGAATACACTTTCTACGCCTTATCAAGACTTCTCATTGTAGTTAGTGGGGCCGAGGACAATCGAATCGGAATAGACTATCGTGTCACTGGGTCATTTATCTCGTTCTCGTTTACCGACTACGGTGAATTATTAACAGTTTCAAGCACATCAGAAGTTTTCATTGGTCTGTTGAATAGAATCATTTGCACAGATTACAAAGAATGAGATAATCGAATTTCTCGATACATATAAATGACAATTGTTGGTTGGTTGTAGTGAATCTTTTTTTGTACTGTTAACACAATCAAGATTAATGTTGACCAGAACAAGTTGTCAGATGAATGTGAATAGCTCACTTCCATCGGACCGTTTGTGCCGATGATGTTGTTGTTCAACAGAACAATCAAAACATCACCACTAAACCAATCTAGTTCAGATTATAAAACTCTACTAAAATCATGCAGTAGATTCTTCATCGTTGTGGTGTTTTTCATTCACTAAGCTGGATGTCCACAGCTTGTATGTACCGCTTACGTCGCTGATTACTTGTCTCAATTACTTTTGTCTGAATAAAAGAAATGCTTAGTCATGCCACATTACAAGGAGTTTGCTTGCTAACCTTCTCCACTTTGCTTTCACGCTTCTTATTCTCATGTCTGTCTGCATGAACGATTGCCTGTATGAAACTTATCCAACCGAATCCATATTTGGCTTCGCACAAACGGGATTCCCCTAAGTATGATCGATATACGGAAAGTGAACGAGAGATTTATTTCATAGCATAGTTAACAGTTCACAATTATTGAAGTCAGCTACCGGGCCACTGAAGTGTTAAACCGTACTTCAACTTCAACGCAAACATTTTACAGGATTTGTTTTCTGATACGTCAGCACTGACATCAACTCCACTTAGAGCTTTTCTAAGGTTACTTACTTACTACCAGTCCCCAAAGTCCGGATAAACTAGGGGGGTCAGACATGATGGGGTTAGCGGTGACCCCATGCCATAGAAATCCACAAGTCGTTCAAAAAAAACGCACAAAAAGAGTATGTCGCTGGTCGGCGGTATATGCTCCATTAGAAGTCACAGATCTAAGTAGATAAGTAGTACTGTAGTGAACGAGAACACAGGTGGGGCAACCGGATTGTGTTTAACCAAAATTACAGAGTTACTCAGTAAAATTGGAAAACCATATCGCAAATTATCAGTTCATCATATCGAACTGGACTGTTCCTGTTGCAAAACATCAATCCATTGTCACTATTCATGCGTTTCATACAAATTCCATTGTGTTCTAACTCTTCCTTTCTTGATCTTCCCCCATCTTCTGCTGCCAGACATAACGTTGACGCTCACGTCATATACTACTTATAAGTAGCTCGCACCACAGTACTACCATCATCAAGAATACAAGAAACATAAAAAGAATAACACTAAGAGTTTTATTTAAAATACACTAACCACTTAACACTATCATCCAATTCTTTTTCTCATAAAACAAGTGAAAAAAATTTAGAAATCGAATACAACAACACTACTTACTTTATTATTATGATGACAAGAAAGAATTTTTGTATGTGCTTTCAATGCAGAATTCATTAAATCCGATGGAAATTTCAAATGAACAGCCCAATCCCATAGAAGATCTAATGTTTTTTGCATCATCATACCATCGGTGTCTTGTTCAGCTAACATTGTGATTAAATCAATGAGACGTTCACGTTGATGTTTGGTTGCTTTATTCCAACTTCGCTAAAAAATAATTAATTAATCATTAAAAATGTACAAATATATAAATGAAATATTGATCATTGACCACACATTATCGATATTTATATATTAATGGATAGAAGAGGAATGCTTATTGTCTGTCAGTCAGCTGCGCTACGCTACGCTACGTACATGAGTTCAAGTTGTTATATCAGACAGATTAATGCGAAGAGATGGAATTGTCGATTTCAATCCTATAATAGTAGAAGTACGCGAGCAGTGATTCGAAAGATTGGGGTTCAAAATTATCCCGACCGAAGCTGCTACCTTGAGGTGGTGGTCGGGCTTGCCTATCGTCATGACCCAACGGAGCTAAATCGGCTGGAACATATGTTCCTTAAGGTTCTACCATGACAGGCAGGTCGATTGGAGAACGATGAGACTAAAAGCAGCTACTCAACGTCTGAGGGCGAAGTCGTACTGCTGACTGACTGAAGAGGGGTGTGACAGCAGTAAGGTGTTTCCCTCGGATAACCAGCATCTGCAGCGATGCTGCCTTCTCACAAGCAAGGAAGGGTTAGAAAACGTCGACCCTAAAAATGTCACATCTCACTCTACCTCACTAATTTCCGTCTCCTTGGGTAAGGGTGCCCACTAAGGGCCTTTAAGACTTACTTACTTACTTACTTACGCCTGTTACCATAAATGGAGCATAGGCCGCCCACCAATTTTCTCCAACCAACTCTGTCCTCGGCTTCCCTCTCCAGTTCTGTCCAGTGTTTGTTCATTCCTCTCATATCTTTCTCTATTTCGCGGCTTAATCTGTTCCTTGGCCTTCCTCTTTTCCTTTTGCCTTGAGGGTTCCATGTAAGGGCTTGTCTTGTGACGCAGTTAGGTGCTTTACGCCATGTGTGTCCTATCCACTTCCACCGCTTCTTCCTGATTTCCTCCTCCACTGGAATCTGACTTGTTCTCTCCCACAGTTCGTTGTTGCTGATGGTGTCTGGCCAACGAATACGAAGTATTTTGCGTAGACAGCTGTTAATAAACACTTGTATCTTCTGAATGATGGCTTTGGTAGTTCTCCATGTTTCCGCTCCATACAGTAGAACTGCCTTTTCCGCCGTCATTGCTAGATCTTCCACATATTTTCGTTTGTCAGCTCTGATGCTCTTCTTCACTTCCCTGTTTGCTTCTGTATACTCGGCTTGCGCCTTAACTTTCTCTGCTCTTGTTCGGCTGACATTCACTGCTGCCTTCTTGTTCCTCCTTTCTGGAATTTTTTCAAGAGTACCAACAGAGATCCATTCTTTGTGATGGTGCTTCTTGCGACCAAGGACCTCCTGACATGTTGAAGTGATTGCCTCCTTAATCCCTTTCCAATTGTTCTCCAATGTTGCTTTTTCTCCATTGAGTAGATCCTGAAAGGCCTGGAACCTATTGGTGAGGGCTATCTTGAATTCGTTGAGTGTTACGGTATCCCGAAGAAAGGCTGTATTAAACTTCTGTGATGTTGTCTGCCCCGTTGTCCAGTGCTTCTTTAGCTTCAGTTTCATTTTGGCGATCAGCAAGTGGTGGTCTGAATCTATATCAGCTCCTCTCCTAGTTCTCACATCCTCCATAGTCCTTCTGAACTTTTTGTTGATACAGAATTGGTCAATTTGGTTTTGAGTAGTGTGATCCGGTGAAATCCATGTGGCTTTGTGAATGCGTTTGTGCGGGAATATTGTGCCACCGATGGCCTCTAAGAACGGAGCTAATACTCAAAAAACCTTTCATAAAAAGGCCGTGCGTGACCGGCCCTCAAGCAGTTGTCCCTCGGGCTCTGCGTTCACGCACCCAACACTAATCTATCTTCCTTTTCAGGTCCCTTAAGAAACAACCTTCCACGGTGCGGGCAGCCGGGAAGTGACAACCGCCCTCATACCCGTACCAGCACACGATCGAAATCAAATCTTTCCTACCCCGGTTCAAAATTATTATTTAAGGAGTATAATTGAGTGAAATAAATTTAAAAAGAGAAATTTAAAGGTCACAAGGAATTCAGGAGATGTGGGTTATGAGGAATTCTCAAGATTAGGATTTCAGAGAACACAAAGAATGAATGTACGTGAGCCGTTGCAAGCGATTCTGAGCCATGTCATTTAAGGTCTCTAACCATCATCGGTTACTCGTCTTGTGGACCCCAACCTGGTAGTCTACAGCTATCAACATGCCTCGACCCGATCGACGATGACTTCATAAATTTGTACTATGTTCTCGCCTGGCCGCTACTAGATTTCTTCCAGCCTACTCCTATATCACAAAACATAGTTCGTCGGGGTAGTCGGTGGTTCGGACATGTATTACGTTTGCCCAACCACATGTCAGTTGAGGTGGTTGGGATATATGTAACCTAAGTGGTTGTTTCATGAATCAATAGCCCTCTCAGAAGTATACATGTTACGAACACATTTAATTGCTTACAACTACGGAAAGACAGTTCTGCTTTAGAGACCTGTCTGTTAATGCGAACCATTTTCCTACCTTCAATATACTCATACAATTGACAATATGACTTCATTCGTGCATTACTTACAAACCATTAAAACACTTTTCGATATGTAGTTTGTACGCTTAGCTTAATAACTAAGAAACCTATACAACACACACGAATGCGACTATGCCAATCTCTATAGACACATTGAAATGGTGATGGGAGTAAGAGAGAGACAGAGAAAAATATCAATCAATCAATCAATCAATATCGATCAATCAATAAATGAAAAGCATACCTTGAAACAATCAAATAAATATTTAGTTTGATTCATTGAAATTCTAATGTTAAACGTGTTAACATATGAAATATATTTTTAATGATTGTTTCATGTTTACCAGTTTGTGATTCCCATATCATGTCTAAATCATCCAGTGTTAACATTGATTTTCTAATCATAAAACGTATAATCTCCTCGACTTTCTCCACATATTGTAATTGATGCAGATTTTCACGAAGCAATAATTTTAATAACCCAGACAAATCAAGAGCGGCAAAGCAGCAGGACCAGACAACATTCCAGCAGAGGCAATGAAAGCAGATGTAGAAGCAACTGCGAAAATATTTCACATCCTCTTCAAGAAGATTTGGGATGAGGAACAAGTACCATCAGATTGGAAAGAAGGATACCTGATCAAAATACCAAAGAAAGGCGACCTGAGCAAGTGTGAGAACTACAGAGGTATCACTCTTCTTTCAATACCAGGCAAAGTCTTCAACAGGGTATTGTTAAACAGAATGAAGGACTTCGTAGACGCCCAACTTCGAGATCAACAGGCCGGATTTCGGAAGGATCGATCGTGTACTGACCAAATCGCTACACTACGGATCATTGTGGAACAATCAATTGAATGGAACTCACCACTCTACATCAACTTCATCGACTACGAGAAAGCATTCGATAGCGTGGACAGGAAAACACTGTCGACACTACGGGGTGCCTGAGAAACTAGTTAACATCATACGGAACTCTTATGATGGATTCAACTGCAAAATCGTGCACGGAGGACAGCTAATCCACTCTTTCGAGGTGAAGACTGGTGTGAGGCAAGGTTGCTTACTCTCACCCTTTCTTTTTCTCCTGGTCATCGACTGGATTATGAAAACCTCAACATCTGGAGGGAAGCACGGTATCAACTGGACAGTTAGCACGCAGCTGGACGATCTGGACTTCGCAGATGACCTGGCTCTTCTATCCCACACTCAACAACAAATGCAAGAGAAGACGACCAGTGTAGCAGCAGCCTCTGCAGCAGTAGGTCTCAACATACATAAACGAAAAAGCAAAATTCTCCGATGCAACACAACATGCACCAATCAAATCACTCTTGATGGAGATGCCATGGAGGACATTAACACCTTTACATATCTGGGCAGCATCATCGACAATCAAGGTGGATCCGATGCAGATGTGAGGGCACGGATTGGCAAAGCAAGGGCTGCATTTCTACAGTTGAAAAATATCTGGAACTCCAAACAGATATCAATCAACACCAAAATAAGGATTTTCAATACAAATGTCAAGACAGTTCTAATGTATAGAGCGGAAACATGGAGAACTACCAAAGCCATCATCCAGAGGATACAAGTGTTTATTAACAGCTGTCTACGTAAAATACTTCGTATTCGTTGGCCAGACACGATCAGCAACAATGTACTTTGGGAGAGAACAAACCAGATTCCAGTGGAGCAGGAAATCAGGAAGAAGCGGTGGAAGTGGATAGGACACACATTGCGGAAAGCACCTAACTGCGTCACGAGACAAGCCCTCACATGGAACCCTCAAGGCAAAAGGAAAAGAGGAAGGCCAGAGAATACATTACGCCGAGAAATAGAGAAAGATATGAGACGAATGAACAAACATTGGACAGAACTGGAGAAAGAAGCCCAGGACAGAGTTGGTTGGAGAAAACTGGTGGGCGGCCTATGCTCCATTTGGGGTAACAGGCGTAAGTAAGTAAGTAAGTAAGGATGCAAAGAATATGTACTACAAATACATTCGAAAACGATGCTAAATTCCTGAATGAAGCATTGGTTTTAAATGGCTGTCCGTTGAAGTTGATAAAAATAGGTGTAAGTATCAGTGAATACAAAAACCTCTAGTAAATTGAGCTGAGAAAAAGGTGTGTATATCCCTCGGCCACTTAGAAATGAATCTGACAGTGCTTGTGTTAGGGGAACAGAGATGAATTAAAGCATAACTACGCTGCTGAGCGCTGATTGGCTAATCTCCTATCCAATCAAATCTTGGAGAACAGGGTAAAAGATTCTCGTATTGTTAGCTGCGTGCTGATTGGTTAAATCTAATCCAGTCGATCACGTGAATTCCTATCCAGAAGCTTCCCATGTAAATACTATAAATAAACTAACGTTGTATCTATTTCTGCCTTCGCCATCGCCTCTGGCTTCTTATTTCCATTTAACCTTGCTATTTGGAATATAATCTTTTCCTGTTCAACCGTGTTTTGATTCTTGGGAACTTGTCCAGTGTTTTGTGGTCAGAGAATACTAAGCAATAGGATTTAGCCGGGAATTATCTAAGCAAGCGTTACAACAGCTTGTAAGACAGAAACTAAAAGTAACGACCAAGAAAACATATTACGCAGCTAAATTAGTTGTAATTGAAAGAATTCTACATAGGCCTAGAGATTGCACGGAAAATTACGTCACAGCCCATTGCATTTTTATCAGCTTGCGTGTTTGTGTGGGCATGCGGAGGAGTAATCGAACAATACAATCACCGGTTATGATTTCAAAATCAGTTAAGGTTAAATAACCCAATTAAAGGTGGAAAATAGAAAACTATGTTTATCAATAGCAAAACAGATAATCAAAACGGGGCATAGGATTGATGTTGACACAGCGTTGTATAGAAATGTTCAAAGGAGAATTTGTAAGGTTACAGAAACCTTGGTTATTCGTGAATTAAAACCAACCTTATGAATAAGTACAGAAACAATTTGTTCCAACTTGGTAATTTACCCTGGTAATTTTTAAGCCATTTTATGACCTGAGGGAAATATGGAGATTTCCCATATGCCATTTTCTATTTCTCACTTATAGTTACGGTTCTCAATACATTTCCATTTGAACTTTTATTTAAGATATCTTTTATTATTACTGAAGTCATGAATCAATCACTGTTTGGGCACGATTAGAAAAAAACCAGGAAGCACTGAAAGACGGCCGTTTCGTCCTGGTATAGGACTCATCAACGGTGTTATTATCTAACTCTGATCAATCTAGGGATTTCGCGCAACCTCACTACTCATGTGTATTCGGTAATTACTACCTACACCAAACAGGGTTGAACTCACTAGAAATCTGAGAATTTCCTCACAAAGCTAGTCAACTAGTGAGCACACATTGTACGACTCTTCGTCCAATGTGATCTTTTATTAATTTTCATATAAAATACCTTGACAAGTGTATATGTGTAATCACTAGATTGTTCAAAATATGTTATATAGCGCAAATACATGACCTATTTTCAGATCAACTACATCTTTCTCAGTGTTCAAAATTTCAGTGTTAATCTCACGATACGCACTGTTCAATGTTCAAAGACATCATTGATCATTGATCGATCACTTGATCACATGACACGATATCATGATCACACAATCCTACACACACAAGCACACGTACACACACATATAAGAAAAACAAACTTACCGATGTGGACAATCTAAGCAAATTTTTTGATCAGCAAATTTACCACCTAATATAACTTCAATAATTTTAGGCAATTTGCATAATTCCAAAGCTTCATCTAAATCATTACCGAGTATTTGAAAGAATTCCAATGCATCGTGTTGTTCTCGGACATGGACAGCTTCTGCACGAAATCTATTTTGTTGTTGTGGGGAGGAAACGTAAAGGAAAAAGTAGAAAATACACATATAGATGATGTGTGTTAAAAAATATCAAATATCCTAAAGAAATTATTTTGTAAATCTAATTCTATTGGTCAATATTTAAGGTCGTCTTAAATTATCAAGTTCACATACTTGTAAATGTTGTTTCCTATTGGTTAGTATTCAAGGTCGACCTGACTGTATAAATATGCATTGTTTATAAAGTTCTATGCTCCTTTTCTTTTTCTTCTGTACAAAACCTCACATTTTCTAGGTGCTTTCAGAATACACTTTCTACGCCATATCAAGACTTTTTGATACAGTTAGTGGGGGCTTGGGACGTTCGGATTAGAGTAGCCTATCGTGTCAATGGATCACTTGTCTTAGCTCTCGTTTACCGACATAAAGTGAACTCGTAATAGCATACAAGCATATCAGTGGACAAGCATAACAAGGTGTGTATACAAACAATGAATTAATATTGAAATGTAACTTGTTTACTTATTCGGTTTGTTTATTATTGAACGCTACTCTTTTAATCAACATAACGACAGCCAAGTAGTGTATAACGCCTAAATTGAGGTCTGAGGGTGATGTTTGTACTTGAATGTGATGTGAGTAGGGTGATTTCCAAAAATAAACAGTATCTCCAGGGATACTATTCTCTTACAATGAAAGAGGTTAAAAACAATCAAGTTTAAAACGACGCAATCGATATTTTTTAAAGTGGTTAGGCATACATAACACTTGTCCTAACCACCTCAACTGATGAAGTTTCAATACTTGATCTATTGATCTGCTATCCTTACACAGTAATCGTTTCCTAACAACTGCGTTGCTTAATCGGTTTTCCCAGGATACACGAGCAATGCTTCAGAGACAACGATGGTCGAAGACTAGTAACCTACGAATGTCCTCTACCCTTAACGGCCATGTTTTGTATCCGTCGTATAGTAGGATGGAGCGAATTACTGCACGGTACACTCGTCCTTTGGTTAGCAAGTGGATATCTCGCCTACGCCCTAGTTGACGCAGGTTGGCCAAAGCCAATCGAGCCAATCAGTCGAAATAATTCGACAATTAATGCCCAATTCCACATATAAGAAATAAAAGAATAAACAAGGCGAAAAAGTAACACAACACAATCTTACTTGAAATGACGCCAAAATTCCACTGGTGCATAATATTTTACACGACTATAAGCTAAATGTCCAAATATAGTCTGCATATGATATAGTACATTAAGATGATGAATTTTCTCTTTACTTAAAGGTTTCAATTCTGCTTTTTCACATGTTTTAGTGTTATCATCCTTGTTCGATTCATTATTCTGTTTAGAATTTAAAGAGAGAAAAAACAACAACATAGGCATCTGAAAAATCCGAGACAACTAGGTATCACTTCTGTGAGAAAAGAGTGAATTGTTTGAAAATGTAAACAGGTGAGGTCGCGCAATAATCCCTAGATTGATTAGAAATAGTTATTAACACTGATGGATACCGGTCCAGTGGTCGAGAGGTTAGGTGTTCGTGCACAGGACCGTAGGGTCTGGGTTCGAATCTTGCAAGTAGCAGGAGTCGTGAATGCTCACTGCCATTGATGAGTGTTATACCAGGATGAAACGGCTGTCTTTCATTGATTCCAGGTTTTTAATGGTGGTCTAACAGTGATCGATTCATGATTTCAAAGAGTAACTCAACAATCTCCACAACCTCATAATGCAAATTACTTTACTCACTAGTGACTAGCTGCGTAAGGAATAGTCTCCGAGTTCTAGTGAGAACTCGTGACCAGTGGAGTTTAAGCATGTTCGGGTGTGAAGCAGTGCTTACCGAAGACAGTGTATGAGGTTGCGCAAGACCATGAATTGATCGAATTTAGACATTAACATTGTTAGATACCGGCTCAGTGGTCCAAATATTATGTATATATCTTAATTGTATGGTAGTTAGTAGACGTTACCACTGTCCTATTTTTTAATATTCGTTTACTTACAAGCTTTCGTTTCATATGTCTCATTAGTCTACGTTTATCATCATTCAATCATTTTCTTATTATTCCTGGTTTTGTACTACGTATTGGAATTCTTGTTTGTGCTGTTATGTGATTAAACATATCAGGGGTATGATTCTATGAGTGTTGGGTCACAAAAGGATGCAGTACAACACCAAACTAGTCTACATTCTATCCTCATCTTCTTATAGTCGACTGGGGTTGAAAGAAGGTCGAGGACTACTAAGTGTCAAGATCTCATTGTCCAAGGTATCAATAAATAACTACAAGGGTCACCGGTCCTACCGGTTATATAAAAGAGAGCTGATCTACTCTACTGCAATTAAAGCCTGATCGCAAAACAATTTAAATACTTGTTTTATTTCCGGTTATATCAAAACCAAACCTTCATATGTGACATTGGCAGGTCAAAAGAATCAAACGATACGAACGAAAAGCAAACGATTAAGTAAAATAGCAATACTCAATGCAGTTAGTGTATAACTACTGTTAAACCATACATAATACAAATCAAAAGTGAACAAATACAGATCAAGAGGAAGAATGGAAAGGAAGCAGACAGTGAATTTAAGTAGTATAAAATTACAAAACAACAAGAAATTGACCGAATCGAAAATAATATAAACCATAATGATGATGATTATGCCTTGCAACCCAAGCGTAATCAATTAAGACTAATTCATCTAGATTATAGCTAAATAAATCAGTGTATGTTGGAAGACTGACAACCCCAAATTCTCCATTACAGCTGACAGTGAACAGAGACTGCTCTACCTCTCAAAACGGTCCCAAATAACCGCAAGTATATAACTACTGTTTTAGAAATCCTACTTACTGCCTTTTCGTGGCAGGAGGGTATTATTCACCAGATGAAAAGGACCAGTAACGAATACGGAATGCTTAAAACGGATAGATGGATACGGAAGATGCATCATTTATGGGAATTGAAAAATATTCATTCAAAACCAATCGTACACACCGGATACAAAATCCTAAATGGAAAAATGGTGTGTGAATATGTTAATGGTAACGACCTATCATGTGACCGCATCACTTGACTTTGCTCTAATGCCATGTGCATATGACCACTGAGTGAGTGTTGGGGAAGTTAGATCCCCAGAACTCACTTGGAAAAGAGCCTAATTTGGTAATTCATTCTGAAATTTTGAATTTCATAGTTTTCGCGTCAGAGACGTTTAGTTAACCTTCAGCTTACTATTCCCACTCGGAAAATCCTTGACTATCATTGGTTGATGGATTAGTTTAGTACGCTACTTTTGTGACTTTCACCAAGGGCGTTGCTGCAATTGTATAAATAAGCTTGAGTTGTGTACTTGGAAACCTCAACCCTCTGGGTGCTTATAGAATACATTCTCTACGCCTTATCAAAACTTCTTGCTCTAGTTAGTAAGGCCCTAGGATAATCGGATTAGAATAGCCTATCGTGTCAATGTATCGTCGATCTTCGTTCAGTATACTGAATAGGGTTTCATGCATATCAATTGTCGAGCATATCAGAAAGGTTCAAAGAATGGACCTCCCGGTTTCACTCTGAGCACTCCTCAGGCAGTAGTAGTACTACAATTCAAAGCGAATGTCAACTCCCTATTCAAACCAATCTTGGACAATTGATCAACAGACAATAACAATGATCACAAAGACCAAGTAAAAGTAAACACAATGAAAAAAAAAACTGACCTAATTCAACTTACCAATGTCTGCTCACGTGCATTATCAATGAAATGATTATCGTTTGAGTTTGTTTCTGTTTTCGGTGCAGTGAAAGTATTCATCTGTTTATCTCCTCCTCCTCCTCCAACATTACTACAGTTAGCTAAGACAATTTCTGGATTAGCACTTAGTATACAATCACGTATTGGTTCCAATGTAAACAATTGTTGTATAATTGAATTCATATAACATGTAGCTCCACCATTTTTTAAACCAACAAAATGTGGTGCTTGATTAATATCACTGTCATAATCATGATGAATATTATTATTGTTATTACTATTACTATTATTATTATTATGATTATCATAGTCAACATTATGATGAATCATCCATTGATGCTTATTATTATTACTACCAATAGTAGAATTCGGGAATATGAATGAGGACGGCGTGGTTGTAGTGGTTGTTGCTGTTGTTATTGCATTGGTTGTCGATAACATTGAATTTGTAATATGATTATAACCAAAATGATAATTCCAATTGAAATTTAAAGGTCTTGCATTAGCTATAATGATTGTTTGAAAAAAAAATAAAATAAAACGTAAATCTATATAAAATAGATTTCAATAAATTCATTACAAGAGGATATTCATAGGTTATTAGCATCATGCTAACAGTATGTACTTTCTTACTACTTACTGTGATTTATTATGTTGGTTAGCATTGATTTAAATGGTATTACAATGTGCAGAGTCTCATCAGTGCTGATGACCTAGGGAGTGATGAAATCTTAGCACGGATACAGGAGGCTCGATTGAGTTTCGCCAATTTGCGTTAATTATGGTGTAGGCGAGATTGTCCGTCAGCTAACCAAAGGACGAGTGTACTGCATAGCAGCAGTACTTTACGGCTGAGAAACATGGCCAGTGAGAGTAGAAGATATCCGTAGGTTGCTGGTTTCCCGGTCATAGGTGTCTTCAAGGTATTGTTCGAATATCCTCGGATTACTGAGTAAGCAATGCTGTCATTAGGAAACGAGTACTAGGTAAGGATGGCAGATCAATAGATGAAGTGATGAAGCTTCATCAGTTGAGGTGGTTGGGACATGTGTTACGAGTGATTAACCACTAAATGCTTCGACGAGCTTTGTTTTGAAGTGTAGGAGTAGGTTGGAAGAAAGTTAGGGGCGGCCAGACCAAGACATGGCAGAATTCCATGAAGTAATTGACAAGTGGACTGGGTCATGTCAGTAGTTGTCGACTACCTGGTTGGGGTCCGCAAGACAAAAGTCATCAATGGTTAGAAGAGACCTTGAACGATATGGCTCAGAATCGTTTGCGATGGCGCAGGTGCATCCACTCTTTGTGTTTTCTCTAATTCTAATCTTCAGAATTCCTCATCATCTCTATCTTCCTTTTTCTAAAGTTACCTTACTGAACTATACTTCTCGAATCATAGCTTCACACCCCAATCTTCTCCATTACCACTAATAATTCTACTACACCAACCACTGTGGGATTTGAAGTGAAAATCGCATCTCCGTGCTAATGTGGAATGCCAAATTGAAATGGAGTATATATGTACGAAGTTGTACGTTGTAACTGACTGACTCTGACTGAATCACTCTACATATATTAGTGAAAGTTATGCTCACCTTTTGAATCTGGTTAAGGTTTTCTTAGTGAGTTAGTTTTTTTATAGGATGTGGTGCCCAATCCCATATCCAACCCTCCTCCTTTATCCGGGCTTGGGACCGGCAGTAGAAGGGCTGCAGACGGAGTAGGTCGGAGAATACTGATCGGCGGCCTATGCTCCACTGGGGGTGACAGGTGGATGTAAGTATAATGAGCTTTTAAAAATTAGATAATAAATTCATTGGTAGTGTTTAGTTGAATCTATATCAATAATACTTAAGATTGAAACTGATCAATCTCATTTGGTAAATTATATGCATCCTTTGCGAAATGCTTTGATACTGATATTAAATTATCAGTATTATTAACAAAAGGGGTTAGTTTTCAATTGGATAAAATGTGCTTCCTGGATTCCCCTGTTTAGCCACTCTATCCATCCCCCTAAATGACAATATTGAGGCAATGTATACTGGAAGCACATAAGTCGAAACGAGACCGATCAAGTGCAGTCTTAACTACCAATCGGAAATATTCAAACTACCAATGCAAATGAACTAAATTACACCCTATTGTACAAGTCAGTGGTTAAACTGGCCTCAACAGATAACTTAGTAGATAACACAATAGCGTTTGAACTACATAGCATTGGGTTCGAGTCCTGGATGAGGCAGTTACATCTAGCAACAGACGAGTGCTAAATTCCACTACTAGCCATCTTGAGCTAATAGATTTATACATTTCATAAATTATGATGACTAACGACAAAAAACTTACCAGAAAAAACCAAATCATACAACATAGATGTTAACAATTGACTAATTAATGCATTAGAAATACTTATCGATAAAAGAAAATCAAAAGTACACATCATTAATTTTCTGGAACATGATAAATTTGAAAATGTCGCTGGTGTTGAACAAAGATTAGAATTAGTAATGTCATTGTTATTGTTGTCACGATCATAATTCAACGTCTTAGGTTGATTATTCATTTGTGAATAGATTGTAGATTTGCGTATTTCATTATATTGCTTTGAAGCAGGAAATAATAGTAATTCAAGTATATCCTATAATTAAGAGATATTTCAAAACATAATAATAAATGTCAGGAGAAGTGTACTACTTATAAAAAAATAAGTAGTTGGAAATAATTAGTAGAATTTTTACACAACAAACCAATGTTCGTCCTAAATAACCGTTATATAGATTCGGAACGATTGGATTCAGATTAATCTTATAACCTGTTTTAACAATATACTCGTTTGGTATTTCTATGGAGCGATAAGTGATTTCAAAAATTCTGACGTACATAATTCATAATTATGATACAACACTATTTAAAAGCGATCAGTTTTCTCCTGACTTTCATTCCTGGCTCATTTCATTCATAGGTGGTACTAAAGTGTACATTGACATGGATTCGTGGATTTCCACACTATATACACTATACTCAATATTATTATTTAAGCTAATTGTTTGTTATCTATCTGTTAGTTGGTTTCGCTTGTTATTCTAGCTATCGTAAAATGTGAGTCACTTGGTTCCTACGAACAAAAATTATTTAAGGCAAGATTAAAAAACTTTAAACATAATGGCTAAAATCCATAATAGAGTAGTTTCTTGAAGGTTTAATGACCAACCTTTGAGCAAATGAAACGCATATCTTAATCGTGCTATAGAAATCAACATACATTTGAGTTTGTTCTCATTTGATTTGGTTAAGCCTCTCCTAACTTATTTAACAAACTGAGTTATTCGTGTAGCAACGATTTATCTGTATCATTGTGCTTTTATTTTATTGTCGCGTTTGTTATTACCAGGACAGAGTAGGTTGGCGGATATTGGTAGGGGGGCCTATGTTCCATTAGGGGTAACAGGCGTAAGTAAGTGAGCGTTTGTATGAGCAGGGTATGATTGAGCATTGCTGACTGCACACACACGTACTCATTTTTACTCACTTAAATGTTAACCGCTCAAAAAATCCGATGACAAATTCATTTTATTATGTATATATATACATACAATTTAATCCTACTTACTGGCTCTCTCACAGGCTCACGCGACCACTCGCTCGTCTGCGCTTCGGAGATTTCATATCATTTTCGCTTCGTATGCCTGTGGTTTTGTGATCGGTGTGTGATCAATGCTTCGTATTCATCTTCTGAATTATATACCATTGGGTGTTATCTAGTAACAGTTGTCCGGAAGAGCAGTAAACGAAGTCAAAGACTTATTATCGACTACTAAATACTAGGTGCTGACTCCGATAAACAGATAGATGTGGCTCATAGGTGTATCCGAAGCATTGCTCGTGTATCCTGGAATGACCGAGTAAGCAATCCTATCGTTAGGAAACGAGTACTAGGTAACGATGGCAGATCAATAGATGAAGTAGTGAAACTTCATCAGTTGAGGTGGTTGGGACATGTGTTACGTATGCCTAACAACCGACTGCCACGACGAGCTACGTTTTGTGGCATAGGAGTAGGCTGGGAGAAACTTAGGGGCGGCCAGACCAAAACAAGGTACAAATCCATGAAGTCAGTGATAAGTGGACTGAGTCATGTTGGTAGATATAGACTATCTGGTTGGGTTCGGCGAGAAAAAAGTCACCAACGGTTAGAGACCTTGAACGACATGGCTCAGAATCATTTGCAATGGCTCAGGTGCATCCAGTCTTTGTGTTCTCTCTAATTCTAACCTTCTGAATTCCTCATAATCTCTATCTTTCTCCTTCTAAATTTATCTTACTGAATTATACTTCTCGAATCATGTCTTCGCTCCCTAATCTTCTCCATTACTGCTAATACTTCTATTATTGCTATCACTCTTGGATTTGAACTGACAGTTACGCCTCTGTGCTGATGTGGTATGGCAACTGGAACTGATGTACTTATGAACGAAGTTCTGCGTTGTATCTGTCTGTCTGTGGCTCAGAGCCCAGAACACAAACACTACAGTACAAGTGATAGATAAAAAAATGGCACTCTTTTTCTTGTTATTGATTTGTACAATTTTAATTTATTATTAGTAGTGTAGTGCCTTCACATAAACTTGAGTTCGCTCATATTAAATTTGATTACGCCTTTTCGATTAACTTATGTAACCAAGCTAATTGTATAGCAACAACCTATATGTATGTACCACTGGTTTTTTTATTGTCTGGTTTGTATGAGCTTGTACAACTGAGCATTGCTTACGCCTACGCGCTTACTCATCCTATTCGCTTTAATGTTAATCTCTTAATATCCCTATGAACTCACATGACTTGTTTCGCTTGCTTTTGGCCGTGTCAACCATTCGTCGCTTTTATTCATGTGTGTGCATGCCTATCTCGTTGATCACATGTCTGTCTTATTTTTTTCTGACTATAAATTCTCAGTCCCAACCGAAGCTGCTACCTTGATGTGGTGGTGGGGCTTGTCTATCGTGATGACCCAACCGAGCTATATTGGATGGAACTTATCTTCCTGAAGGTTCTACCATGCCAGGCAGATCGATTGGAGAACGATGAGACTAAAGGCAGCTACTCAAGGTTTGAGGGCAAAGTCGTACTGCTGACTGACTGCAGAGGGGTGTAATGACAGCAGTAAGGTGTTTCTTTCGGACAACCAGCATCTGCAGCGATGCTGCCTTCTCACAAGGAAGGAAGGGTTAGAAAAGTTCGACCCTAAAAATGTCACACCTCACCCTACCTCACGGATTTCCGTCTCCGGCGGTAAGGGTGCCCACTAAGGGCTTTCAAGAACGGAGCTAACACTCAAAAAACTTCTCACAAAAAGGCCGTGCGTGACCGGTCTCAAGCAGTTGTCCCTTGGGCTCTGCGGTCACGCAGGCAGGTCTCTAAGACCAACACTAATCTATCTTCCTTTTCAGGTTCCTCAAGAAACAACCTTCCACGGTGTGGGCAGCCGAGAAGTGATAACCGCCCTCATACCCGTGACAGCAAACGAGACCAAATTGGTCAAAATCAAAATAAATTCTTAGTCATGCATGCTCTATCTCTTAGGCAGTTAGCTCAACAGCGCTTCTCCAATTCACGTCGCTTCTTCCGTTTTATTCACATTGCTTCTCCGCTTCGCTTTGTGTGGTGAATACCCTATTCATCACTTTGTGTGTTCACCTTCTGATTTATTATAAACCGTCAAATGCTAGTTAATAACAATTGTCTAGACGAGCTAATTACCCGCCGAGCTTAAAGAACACACAGTAAATAAGACACACTACAGTAGAGAAAATTAAAACAAAAACTTACTTTCACTAAATACAATTGATGCATTGAATAAAGTTTTGATGAATCATGATTGTGATCATCATCACCAGTTACAACATCAACACTGCTGATTACAATATTCTGTAATAAATCATATTCTTTAACTAATATCTGTTTCATTTCATGCAACAACAACACCTGTTCATCAGCATCATCATCAGCAACAACACCAGTAGTGGTGCTGTTAGTCTGTTCATCATTCGTCATGACTGTTTGTAGTAAACCGAATGAATGATGATGATGATTGGAATGTAAAAAACATTGGTACAACGCTTGGCATATTCGTAAATGTCCACAAATCAATAAATCTTTCTCTTCAATAGACATGGCATTAAATTGTTGTATCATGGTAGTTGATTGAAGCTGTGTATTTGTGCTGGTGGTGGTAGCATCATGGAAAATCGGTAGATTGATATTAGTGAAAGGATAAGAAATCAATGTTTCACTAGGTCCGAATTGACGATTCGTTATCTATCACATTGATTGAGAGAGAAAACTGATAATAATAATTTAGCATAATTAATTGCAAACATATAACTCAGATTAAGAAGGTTGAAGCGCATCCTACTATACTCTGATGATTACTTACTTACTTACTTACTTACTTACGCCTGTTACCCCCAATGGAGCAAAGGCCGCCCACCAGTTTTCTCCAGCTAACTCTGTCCTGGGATTCCCTCTCCAGTTCTGTCTAATGTTTGTTGATTCTTCTCATATCTTTCTCTATTTCTCGGCGTAATGTGTTCCTCGGCCTTCCTCTTTTCTTTTTGCCTTGAGGGCTTGTCTCGTGACGCAGTTAGGTGCTTTCCGCAATGTGTGTCCTATCCACTTCCACCGCCTCTTCCTGATTTCCTTCTCCACTCGAATCTGGTTTGTTCTCTCCAACAGTTCGTTGTTGCTGATGGTTTCTGGCCAACGAATCCGAAGTATTTTGCGTAGACAGCTATTAATAAACACTTGTATCTGCTGGATGATGCCTTTCGTAGTTCTCCAAGTTTCTGCTCCATACAGTAGAACTGTCTTGACATTTGTATTGAAAATCCTGATTTTGGTTTTGGTTGAAAGTTGTTTGGAGTTCCAGATATTTTTCAACTGTAGAAATGCAGCCCTTGCTTTGCCAATCCGTGCCCTCACATCTGCATCGGTTAGATAATATGTTTGGGACGTTAGATCACCAGGATTCTGTTAGGCTATTCATCCAATATCCTAAGAGAATTATTGGTCAATTTCTATTGGTTAATTCTTACTGGTCAATTTTATGGTCGTCTTAGATAACAATGTCACGTGAACAAATTTCGTTTCTTTATTGGTTGTCCTGATTATCAATGTCACTTCAAATGTTACTTCCTATTGGTCGTCTTAACTGTCAATGTCACAGAATTCGATGCTGTTTCTCATTCGACCAAAAGGTATAACGCATTTTATGTAACGTTTTATGACCACGACCAGGACGCGGTCCCGGGTCCCTAGTCCACGGTCCTGATTCTCTTCTGGATTCGGACCTCGTACCTTCTGGATGCCTGTAGAATACAGGTTCTACTTCATATCATGTCTTCTTATTTTCACTCAATATGGGGGTCGGGATAATCGGATTAGAGTAGCATGTCGTGTCACCGGATCCTCGCTCTCGTTTTCCGACTAGGTAAACTCGTAATAGTTAAAGTATATCAAGTTGACGTGTTTTCGTACAGGCGTAACAGATTCACTTGGATCAGTACTGAATTTGGATTTTTTTTTAGGTTTTCGTGCATAAGCTGCTTGGTTGACCTTGAGACTCTGTTTCCCACTCGGAAAATCCCTAATTGTCATTGGTTGGTGGATTATTTTAGTATGCTACTTTTGTGGCTCCCTCGAAGACGATTTTATCATTGTATAGATAAGCTCGATCTGTGTGCTTCGTAACCTCACATTTTCTAGGTGCTTGTAGAATATATTCTCTACTCCTTATCAAGACTTCTTGATATAGTTAGCCGGCCCGGGGACAAACGGATTAGAATAGCCTATCGTGTCATTGCTTCATTTATCTGCGCTCTGTTGACCGAGTAATGTGAACTCGTAATAGTTTTAAGCATATAAGATAACATGTTGTCTGTGAAATTATTCAAAAATACAGTTAATTCATTTTTTCGTTGCCAGCTGGGACTGCCATTGATCACATTCTCATTTTGTCATATATGTATTCCGTACGGATGGGCTCGTTATAGCCAACACGTCACAAGAATTATGATGAATAACAATGTAATCCGGGACGAATGTTTTGACCAATTCAGCAATTTGTTCCAATGTGTTAGTGTTCACTGGATTAGAGTGCTGGAGTGAAAATCAAATTTAGGACATGACAAGAACATTCAACTACACGCGAGTTAAAAATACAACGAAACGTACATCCGCTGTTATCTATCATCTATCTCCAAACTGATCATGCTTATGACTTATTGGCTATAATGAACCAATCCTTATATGATGCATATATGGCAGAACGAGACGGTGATCAATTGCAGTTTTTACAAAGATCAACGAGACAGTGACACGATAGGCTTTTCTAATCCTATTGTCACAGTTCCCGTTAACTAGTGCAAGAAGAACACTAAAAGCTCCAAAACCAAAACATCCAGCGCAGAGAACGAAACACCACAGAAATCAGTAGGAGCATAATAGTAAACTGTGTGTGTGTGTGCGTGTACGCAGTAGCAGTTTAACAACAATCACAAAAAGACAAAACATACCATTAATCGAAGCCAAACAATTTCATCTGTAAGCCATTGATAAGCACTTTGTAAAAATTGTTCATGATTACACATCAATGGGATTAATTTAACAAGCCAATTAAAATATTCATCAGATTGTGTAATTTTCAATGGGACGTAATCCTGAAAGACACAAAACAAATACAAAAACAATTTTCAAATAGAACTGGTGGCATTAGATAACGTATAGTCAGTCAGTCAGTCATGTATACTCAGAAAATTCTACAAGGTTTTATTATGTTTTTTGTATATAATTCAAATTAATTCGACATCACTTCAATGCTGTGTATCTTCGCCTGTAGACCCTTCGCAACTACTGCCGGTTCCAAACCCGGATAAAGGAAGAGGGTTGGGATTCGGGTTGGCTACTCCATCCCGCAAAAATCTCTAACAAGAAAAAATAATTCAAGCCATATAAAACCCTGCTCTGGGAGTTAGAAGGTCTTCATTTAGAAGAATTACGGCGTCTCATGATGAAAGCCGAATTCCTTTGGAAGTACTTGGGCCAATGCATCTTCTGACAACCGGAACCCTTCCACGGTGTGAGCAGCCGGGAAATAACATCCACTGGCATACCCATAAAACACAGGAGACCAAACTGCTCAAGATCAGATCCTTTCTATTAATGCTGCGCTTCAATCGGAAGCAATAAAATGTATGAGCGCATATATACAGACGGCACATAGTTATTTATAGATAAGTAAATCAAAATATTCATTTAAGAATTAACTAAAATGCCTTAGGGTTAGTCAGAAGCAATTCAGAGTTTGACAAAATCAAGCATCGATCCAAACTGCAATACACCCATCATCGGCTTAGACAGACGAATTACAAAGTGAGTAGTATGAGAATAAGGCAAGTCCAGAGAGAATACTACAAACCAAGCTTGGTTGTGGACTATCTTCTGACATTTTCCCGATCTGGCAACAACTTACATGAGATACTTCAATGCACACTACTCATAAGCCACATTGTGAGTAGTGTCTATCCCGATCGTAGCATTATCGGTGAGTTTCGAAAAATAGAAACAATAGGAATAGCCAATAGGATTCGATTAGCGAAAATAAAATTTTCATGATCTGGGGAAAAAAGGTTAGTGTATTTATGTTAGTTTGACCGATTCCAAACCAACATATTCACCTACTGATCATAGCATTTGTAAAAATATTTCATTAAGTATAACTGAGAAGACTGAGGTAGGCGAGGAAGATTGTATTATGCAAATTTACACTCTTAGTCAATTGAAAAACAAAAACATTACATTGAATTCACTCTATTTGCACACCATCTTTGAGTCGTGACTTCCAACACTCCATCCTTCTTCTTCGATTCCTGTTGTTGCTTCCTTTCCTTCCTGTTGGTACTCCATTTACTTCTTGCCTTTGCTCCTTTCCGTTTCCCTCTTCTGACCCTGCGACTTCTTCTTTCACATCCCTTCGTATACTACTTATATCGTTCGTATAAGTAGCACACACCACATAACGACAATAAAGTGACAAACTTGAACAGACAATAAGTACAGTAAATTCAACTAATTCATATAACTTGTTTATTGAGAATTGATGAATACAAAGCGACGAAAATCAGAAAAGACATCGAAACAATTTAGTCATAGTAGTAGTAGTAATGATGAAAATAGAAACACAGTGAAAGATATGAAAGAATACTAGGATTCTCCTGGTGATCGACTGGATTATGAAGACGTTAACATCTGAAGGGAAGGAAGGGAGACAGTGGACAACTACAATGCAGCGGAGAGATCTACAAAGACTCTTCGATAAAACGCAACATGCACCAACCGAATCACACTTGATGGAGATGCCTTGGAGGATGCATAAAACTTTACATAGCTCGGAAGCATTACTGACCAGCGACGTGAATCTGATTCAGATGTGAAGGTGCGGATCGGCAAAGCAAGAACAACATTTCTACAACCGAAGAATATACGGAACTCACAAGAACTATCAACAAACAACAAAATCAAGATTTTCAATACAAATGTTAAGACAGTTCTATTGTGTAGGGCGAAATCTCGGAGAAATACCAAAGCCATCATCCACAAGCTATAAGTATTTATGAACAGTTGTCTACGTAAAATACTTTGGATCTGTCGGCTAGGCGCTATCAGTAGTAACAACCTACTGTGGATGAGAACAAACTAGATTTTTCCCCCAGAGGAAAAAAATTAAGAAAAGGCGACGGAGTTGGATAGGACGCACATTGAGGAAAGCAACGAACTGTATCACAAAACAAGCTATCACTTGGAATCCTCAAGGCCAAAGAATACACTACGCTAACAATAGTAAGCAGAACTGGGAAAGAAAACCTAGGATAGAGTAAGTTGAAGAACGCTGGTTTGCATTAGTTGTGCAGTGCGATAAAGGAATGTGAGAAGAGTTAGTCGTGGAGTAAGAGAGGTTTTAGGGTGTGTGGGAAGGATTTGATTTGACGATTCGGTTCGTGTGCTGTTACGGAGTATGAGGGCGGTTGTCACTTCCCCACTGTGGGAGGCTGTTTCTTGAGGACCTGAAAAGGAAGATAGAATTAGCGTTGGTCTTGGAGACCTGGGCTGCGTGACCGCAGAGCCCAGGGACAACTGCTTGAGGCCGATCACGTACGGCCTTTTGATGAAAGGTTTTTTAGAGTATTAGCTCCGCTCTTTGAAAGCCCTAGTGGGCAGACCTTACCGCAGGAGGCGGAAATCCATGAGGTAGGGTGAGGTGTGACATGTTTAGGGTCGACCTTTTCTAACCCTTCCTTTCCTTCTTTGTGAGAAGGCAGCATCGCTGCAGATGCTGGTTGTCCGAAGGAAACACCTTACTGCTGTCACACCCCTCTGCAGTCAGTCAGCAGTACGACTTCGCCCTCAGACCTTGAGTAGCTGCTTTTATTCTCATCGCTCTCCAATCGACCTGCCTGGCATGGTAGAACCTTCAGGAACATATGTTCCAGCCAATATAGCTCGGTTGGGTCATCAGGATAGATAGTCAAGCCCGACCACCAAGTCAAGGTAGCAGCTACGATCTCAGAAGAACGCTAGTCGGCCGCCTATGCTCCACATTCGAAGTGACAGATGTAAAATCAAGTCAGTAAGTAACAATCGACTAAACAAATCCATCTATATATAAAAAAAATGTAGAAGATTCCAAACAACACAACAACAACAACTTACCAATAACCAATGGAACATTTGTTTTAATACATCATAAACAACCGTATCGCATTGTTTATTCGTTGTATTCAATTTAGTCAACAATGCATGCATAGAATATCTTGTCAACAGGCGTATCATTAATGAATGAGGAGAAAATAATAAATCTTGCAAAAAATCTGTACCAGTTAATCGATAATTATGAGTGTACAACTGATGAGGATGATTACTACTAGTACGAGTCCTACTGTCATGATGCTTCATCACTGAATGAGGAGAATGATTCTGTGATAAATTAATTAACATATTATTATTATTAGATAAAGGATACTTTAAAAATGTAACAATGTCAATGTGTGATGATGTATAGAAGAAACATGGATACCATATTACACAATGTAATGCTTCCATGATTACGGAACCGTGAGTTTCACCAGTTTGTAAAGCATTAAAGCATTGTTTATGAAAGTTGGGATAAATGATTGATTTGTTCGGTTCATGGGAATCATTATTGACATTATCATGATGATTGTGATGATTATTGCGACTATTATGACGACGACTACTAATACTACTATTAGTACTACTAAGACTATTATTATGAATCTTATTGCTACCACGGCCAACTTCGTCGACGCCACACACGTAGCCATTCTCATTGTTGTTGTTAGATGACGAGTTCGATGACGATGAAGACGACGACGATGAGGATGGTGATAATGAATGTAATTGACTGATGGAAGATAATGTTGACGATAAAGGAGAAGAGGAAGCAGAAGGAGATGATGTTGATGAAGATGATGATGGCAGCACTGATTCACATGATATTAGCGATAATGTTGATGCAGATAAACGAATTGTACTAGGTAAATTAGGCTTAACTATTATTTGACTGGCATTGTCATGAATAGGTTGCTGTATTTGATTTTCTATAGATAAGGATTCAAACGATTTGTTGAATTTTTTTATTGAAACTAATTCATCTAACCGAATGAAGAGAAAATTAAAGCAAAGAGTTAACTAGCACACATATATATATTTATGTAAATATAATTTAAAGTAGTATATAGTTATTATTATAATAAGAGATTTGTGGAAGTTCTTCACTTTCATAGTTTCTATCATAGACGACACAAGTCAGTCAGTCAGTCAGATGCAACGTAGAACTTCGTACGTAAGTACATCAGTTCATGTTGCCATACCACATTATTAGCACAGAGATGTAATTGTCAATTCAAATCCAATAGTAGAAGAGGTAGTAAAGGTATTAGAAGTAATCGGAGAGGTTAGGATTAGAAGGAATTATTCAAGAAGTAAATTTAGAAAGACAAAACTAGAGGTGTTGAAGAATCCAGAAGATTAGGATTTGAGAGAACACAACGAATAAATGCAACAGCGACATTGCAAACGGTTTTCAGCCATGTCATTCAGGGTCTCTAACCATCGATTATTATCATCTCGCGGACCCCAACCAGGTAGTTGACATCTACCGACATGACTCAATCCAGGAAGAGTTAGAAAACAATGGAATTTGTATCAAACGCATGAATAGTGACAATGGATTGATGTTTGGCAACAGAAACAGTCCAGTTGATATGGTTTTCCTATTTTACTGAGTAACTCTGTAATTTTCGTTAAATACAATTCGGTTGCCGCACCTGTGTTCTTGCTCAGAATCGTTTGCAATAACGCAGGTGCATCCACTCTTTGTGTCCTATGAAATTCTAAGCTACGGCATTCCTCATAATCTCTATTTTTCTCCTTCTATATTTATCTTACTGAATTATACTTCTCGAATCATATCTTCGCTCCCTACTCTTCTCCATTACTGCTAATAATTCTACTATCACTATCACTCTTGGATTTGAACTGACAGTTACGTCTCTGTGCTGATGTGGTATAGCAACCTGAACTGATGTACTTATGTACGAAGTTCTGCGTTGTATCTGTCTGTCTGTCTACTACCCTGGCACAATGATGACAAATACTCCAACTAATTAGCATTCTTTGAAAACTTCCAAAACAATAGATTAGACAATTATAGGAGTTTATTACTGATCTCAGCATATCTCCCATAAACTCAAGGTCACATGTGAAACTAGTATAAACTTCCATATATAAACTAAACTTCTAAATAATTTTTTTTTCCTTATTACCAATCTTTTCTTTTCTGTTTACTCATTGAAATCATGAATCAATCATTGTTAGACCAGGATTAGAAACCTGGAAGGCCATTTCATCAACCGGGCACATTCACGACTCCTGCTAATAAAAAGATTCGAACCCAGGACCTATAGTCTTGCACGTGTACGCCTAACCTCTGGACCACTGGGCCGATGTTAATGTTTAACTCTGATCAATTTGGGGGAATTTTGTGCGACCTTACCTGTTTTTACTCGTTAACAGTAGATTACTCAAGACTAAGGAGCAGTTAAGAAGTATATATATATATATATATATATATATATATATATATATATATATATATCCACAACGTCGGTCGGCGACATATGCTCCATTAAGGCTAACAGGCGTAAGTAACCAAGTAATAACATCATTTAAAAAATGCGCATTACAGTTCAATATAAAAAGAATCAAATTAACTCATAAAAAACTCATAAATTACCTTTTAATGAAAAATTTTTCTTATATTGATCATTGATTTCTTGACATGCATAAAACAATTTACTAATACGATCCGGTTTCATATTGAAATCTTTCAAATATTCCATTAAATTTTCACAACCATATCTTGTTTGCCATCCAGTTAAACAAAGATTATTAAAATTACAATTTAGATTATTTTGTTTAAGCCAGTAATTTGTCACTTCAGTTAATGGTATCTTTATTAATAGAATAAATATAATAATAATAATAATAATAATAATAATAGAACTTTTAAATCAACTGAATAATTAATTGTCTAATACTGACACATTCATATCCACACACACACATATACACAACGTCAGTCTCGTGCTGTTACGGGTATGAGGGCGGTTGTTGGTCATGGAGACCTGGGTGCGTGACCGCAGAGCCCAAGGGACAACTGCTTGAGGCCGGTCACACATGGCCTTTTTATTAAAGGATTTTTGAGTGTTAGCTCCGCTCTTAAAAGCCCTTAATGGGCACCCTTACTGCCGGAGACGTAAATCCGTGAGGTAGAGTGAAGTGTGACATTTTTAGGGTCGACCTTTTCTAACCCTTCCTTTCCTTCTTTGTGAGAAGGCAGCATCACTGCAGATGCTGGTTGTCCGAAGGAAACACCTTACTGCTGTCACACCCCTCCATCACAGTCAGCAGTACGACTTCGTCCTCAGACCTTGAGTAGCTGCTTTTATTCTCATCGCTCTCCAATCGACCTGCCTGGAGTGGTAGAACCTTCAGGAACATATATTCCAGCCAGTATAGCAAGCCCGACCACCACGTCAAGGTAGCAGCTTCGGTCGGGACACACACAACGAAACTGTCTTTACAGTACAAATCCACTAATCTGTACAGTATACGTGTGGTCAGACTAAATAAAACATGGCACAAATCCATGCAGTCATGTTGCTGCTAGATAGATACAGACTACCACCAGGTTGGGGTCCGCAAGATCCCGACCGTAGCTGCTACCTTGATGTGGTTGGTGGTCGGGCTTTGGCTATGGTGATGACACAACCAAAGCTGTATTGGCTGGAAACTTGACACAATTTTATGAACACTCCTATTCATTCAGAGTATTTTTGCAGTAATCGTAATTAATTCTCTCTCTTATTATAACCCAACTATTCCTACTACTAATGCTTAGTATTCTCGGACACCGATTCACTCGAGACATTGTGCCAATAATGAGAATACCGTTGAACAGGAAAAAAATAGATTATATTTCCAATAACAACAACAAGGTTAGATGGAAGATAGAAGGTTCAAAGGTAAAAGACACGCTAGTATATATTTATAGTTTTCTTACATAAGAAAATTCTAGAATATTCCCTCCGTACCGGCTAGTGCTGATTGGATACTAAAAGAGCCAATCAGCGTGCAACACGACATAATCTCAGTAATTTGCATTACGGGGTTGTGAAGATTGTTAAGTTACACATTTTTGAAACCATGAATCGATCAATGTTAGACCACCATTAGAAACCTGGAAGCACTGGACGGCCGTTTCGTCCTGGTATGGGACTCCTCAGTGGTCTAAGATTGATCGATCCATGGTTTCAAAAATGTGTAACTTAACAATCTTCACAACCCCGTAATGCAAATTACCTGTGCTCACTAGTGACTAGCTTCGTGAGGAATCTTCTCCGAGTTCTAGTGGGAAGACGTGACCAGTGAAGTTCAACCTGTTCGGGTGTAGACAGTAACTACCGAAGACTGTGTATGAGGTTGCGCAACTCCGTGAATATGATCAAGTTAGACATTAACACCGTTAGATACCGGCTCAGTGGTCTATCGGTTAGGGCGTTCGCGTACAATACCGAAGTTCCTGGGTTCGAATCCTGCGGGGTGCAGGAGTCGTGGATGCACTGCCACTGAGGAGTCCCATACCAGGACGAAACGGCCGTCCAGTGCTTCCAGGTTTCTAATGGTGGTCTAACATTGATCGATCCATGGTTTCAAAAATGTGTAACAATCTCAGTAACACAACACATACACACTGAACGACTGGAAGACAAGAAAAAAAATAATTGGCAAGAAACAACTTACATTCGATGCCATCGCTAATTGGGCAACATGTACAGCGTGTAATAGTACATAGTAATCGCCACTTAATAGAGGATGATTTGTACTTGTCGCTAATCGATATGTATGCAGTAATAATTTACAAATATATTCAATATTCAAGTGCTCCTCCTCTTCTCCTTCTTTACTATTTATATCACTGTGGTCACCCTCAGCACCAGTGGTTTGTGTAGTCGTAGTAGTAGTCAGTGGCATTTCTGGTAAACGACTAATCATTGAAGATATATTCTGATTGGGACAATTAACATTTTTCTCATTGATTGTTGACGTTGAAGTGAATAATTGTTGATAAAATATGGATTTTTTAAATATATTACACAGATAATCTGATTTTGTGTCTAATTTATACAACACTAGTGTATTTGCTGTACTAATCAATAGCAGACGAATCAATCTTAACAACCATAAACGTATTTGATAAAGTAATTTCCAATGAATTGTTGTATCATAATAGATTGCCTGTTCAGCATTGACATTGTTATTGTGATCATGAGATTGAGGTGATTTGCCATCATCCTTATCACAGTTAGCAGTTTCACGATTGGATATAGGAGGGAAAGAGGATACTAATAGTGGAGATGAAAGTAGTAGGTTTAAAGCACCACCACGAAGTAGAAGTAACTGAAATTTACAGAAAAGAGAAAGAGGCGAAGAGAATTATTTCGATAATTGATAAGACGAAATTTGTAAGCACATGCTTATTGTTTTGGTTATAGATTGGAAGAAAGCTAGGGGCGGTAAAACCAAAAACATGGCAAAAATTCATGTAGCCATTGATAAGTGGACTAAGTCATGTTGATAGATGCAAACTACCACTAGTGTTATAACGCTTACTTAAATAATTCCCAACTAATTCCTGTTGCTTAGTATTCTCTGACCACACAATACACTATTGGACAAGTTCCAAAGAATCAAAAACACGCTGGAACAGGAAAAGATTATATTCCAAATGGAAATACAAAGCCGAAGGCAAAAATACATACAACGTTAGTTTCTTTATAGTATTTACATGAGAAGCTTCTAGGTAGTAATTTACGTGATCGACTGGATTAGATTTAGCCAATCAGCGTGCAGCTAACAACACGAGAATTTTTTCTACCCTGTTCTCCAAGAATCGATTAGGCTCTGATTGGATAGGAAATTAGCCAATCAGCGCGTAGCAACGTAGTCATGCTTTAATTCTATATATGTCGCACTAACAACCAGGTTGGGGTTCTGCAAGATGATAGTAATCGATGGTTGGAGACCTTGAATGACATGGCTGAAAATCGTTTACAATGGCGCAGGTGCATCCACTCTTTGTGTTCTATGAAATTCTAATCGTCTGAATTCCAAATCACCTCTATCTTTCTCTTACTAAAGTTATCTCACTGATTTATAATTCTTGAATCATATCTTCGAACCCTAAGCTTCTCCAATACCAGTAATACTTCTACTATCTCTACCACAATGGGATTTGAACTGCCAACTTCATCTCTGTGCTATTATGGTATGCCGACGTGAATCAATGTACTTACGTACGAAGTCCTACGTTGCAACTAACTGATGGACTGATATCACAGAAAATCATTGTAAATTAGAGAAGACTATAATCGTTTCAGTGTGAAACTCTCCAATGATAGCCAATCATAAGCAAATCAGTACAACGTAAAACACACAATCATTGAATGTGCAGAAAGAGCGAATTAGAATTGATTTGTAAAAAACAGCAATATAAATTCTCAATTTCCAATACCATTTTTGTATGTCTTGTAACCCCATTTTTAGTCTCGAACTAATAGGTTTGAGATGACTTCTCCACAATCCTGTAAGAGTAGTATCACAGACTATAAAATACACTGACTTTTCTGAAATAAGCATTGAATACTACGAATCCAATGTTGTTGTACGATCAACTACTGTTTATATAGGCATCACAAACATCAGTAGTCAGTTGCAACGTAGAACTAAGTACGTATGTACATCAGCTCATGTTGCCATACCACATTAGCACAGAGACGCAAATGTCAAATCGAATCTCATAGTGATAAAGATATTAGAGGTATTAATGGCAATGAAGAAGACTAGGGTTCGAAGATATTATTATTCAAGAAGTATAATTCAGTGAGATAAGGTTAGAAAGACAAAGGTAGAAGTGCTGACGATTCCAGAAGATTAGGATTTTAGAGAGCACAACGAATGGATGCACTTGCGTCATTGCAAACGATTTTGAACCATGTCATTCAAGGTCTCTAACCATTGGTGACTTTCGTCTCGCGGATCCCAACCAGGTAGTGTACATTTACCAACATGACTCAGTCCACTAGTCAGTGACTTCATGGATTTATGCCATGTTTTGGTCTGGCAGAACCTAGCTTTCTTCCAACGTACTCTTACACCACAAAACATAGCTCGTCGTGGCAGTCGGTGGTTAGCCATACGTAACACACATCCCAACCACCTCAACTGATTAAGTTTCACCACTTCATCTATTGATCTGCCATTGTTACCTAGTACTCGTTTCCTAACTGTAGCGATGCTTACTCGGTTGTCCCATGATATACGAGCAATGCTTCTTAAACATCTATGATCGAATACTAGTAACCTATGAACATCTTCTACTCTTAACGGCTATCACAACACATACAAACTTATTTATAATCAGTTAGCATCAGTCCAAATTAATCATTTAAAAAAAAAGTTGTTTTTTTTAACTTCTTAATTCATCATTCAATACTTACAGTGATAGTGACAGCATCTGACCAATCTGGAATTTGATTAAATAAATAATTTGTGTTATCATCACTGATACTACTAATATTACCAGTGTTAGTAGTAGTAGCATTACTATGAGTACATGAATTATGAAATGGACTATGCGTAACAGGCAATTTATTCAAATGATAATGTTTCACTTTACAACTAGGCATCAATAAACAATATAATACTTGAAGTATATACAATAATTCAATATAATTTGGTGTATTGGCCAAATCAATATGTTGATCATTGAATAAATTGTTAAATACTCCAATGCATACATTTGGTTTTGTCAATAGATGATGAAACCATGTTTGTGATAAAAGAGCTAAATAAAAAGGAAGATTAGTATTAATGAAGATGATAATGATAATAACAGTTAATCTTAGCAGTAATAATAGTAATAAAGATGAATTGAACATACGCTGTGTCGGGTTGTGAGGCGATTGACCATAGAAGATAACAATGGTCGCGCAATATCGTGGACCGAGATTCTAGTTAAATATTAACACAGCTGGATGCTGACTCAGTGGTTTAAATGTCAAGAGTTCAAGCGAGATACCGGATGGCATGGGTTAGAATACCGCCAGCAAGGTCGTGGATGTGCATGGCTGATGAGGATGAAACGGTTATCCAATTTTTCTAGGTCTTTAACAGTAGTCGAACGATGATCGATTCATGATTTCAATGAAACCCAACAATTGACACAACGCTATACTGACGTTGCATTTCTGCCACTTTCTTCTTACAATTAATAATATTTATTCATTGATAAGTCGATATTTGTAAGAATAATGAATGTTTTATTGAATATTTCATCAATAATAAGTAGTTCGCACGACATGATTAACAATTGTTTTTTTAAAGTCGAGACGAAACAATTCATATATCGCTTATTTTCACAGAAATCATGAACCGATCATTGTTAGGCCAAAATTGGAAATTCGGAAGCAATGAACGATCATTTCGATTTCGAATGGAACTTATCAGTAGTGCGCATTCAGTCCACGAACGCCTAAATTCTATATCAATCAGTCTACATTCAATTACTCATTAATATAGAACCTTACTAAATCAACGATAATACGCGAACATCTTGCATTGACTTCACGTGCTGTTGCGGGTATGAGAGCGTGTGTCACACCGTGGAAAGGTATTTCTTGAGGGACCTGAAAAGGGAGTTGGATTAGTGTTGGTCTTAACAACTTGAGAGTGTGACTGTAGAGTCTAAGCGACGACTACATGAGACCGGTCACGCATAGCCTTTTGATGGGAAGTTAACGAGTTAGCTCCGCTCTTCCAATGGTCTTACCGCCGGAGACGGAAATCTGTAGGGTAAGGAGACGTGTGATATTTTTAGAGTCGACCTTTTCTAACCCCTTCTTTACTTCTGAGAAGGCAGCGCCTTAATGCTGTCACTTTCCTCTACAGTTACTATGTTGTAACGGTTGCTTACGATATTTCCGGCTAAATCTTATTGCTTAGTATTCTTGACACACAACGTACTGTGGCGCGAGCTACTTATAAGTAGTATATGACGTGAGTGTCAACGTAATGTCTGGCAGCAGAAGATGTGGGGGAAGATCAAGAAAGGAAGAGTTAGAAGAATACAATGGAATTTGAATGAAACGCATGAGAATAGTGACAATGGATTGATGTTTTGCAACAGAAACAGTCCAGTTCGATATGATGAACTGATAGTTTGCAAATGAACGATTTACGATATGGTTTTCCGATTTTACTGAGTAACTCTGTAATTTTCGTTAAATACAATTCGGTTGTCCCACCTGTGTTCTCGTTCACTACAGTACAACTTCGCCCTCAAACCTTGAGTTGCTGTTTTTAGTCATACCGTTCTCTAATCAACCTGCCTGGGCATGATCGAACCTACAGGAACATATGTACCAGTAAAAAAATAATACTCAACTATTTTATATAAAAATAAAAAATCCAACAATCTCTCAACAAACTTACGTTCTGTCGATAATTCATGCGAATTTTCATTGATTTTCTTCTTCTTTTCAATTAATAATTCGAATAAATTCTTTCGAATAAATTTAATGCATTTTCTATGTAATGGCATACAATTTAATAATTGTATAATACAATGATATACATTGGAATGATTTAACGCTAAAGCGATTCTACTTAAATTCAATAAGAATTCAATACGTTGATCTGTATTCATGACTAGATTTTTTTAAAAATAAAATCAAAACATAAAATAAAAGATAAAAGATAAGAGAAAAGAGAAATAAAAACTTCAATCCAACCAATCAATCAATTAGCAGCAACATAGAACTTCATACGTACGTACGTACGCACGTACATCAGTTCAAGTTGCCAAATCATATTAGCAGAGAGATGTAATTGTCAATTCAAATCCTATAGTACTAGAGGTAGTAGAAGTATTAACAGTAATCGGAGACATTATGGTTGTCACTTCCCGGCATCCCACACCGTGGAAGGGTGTTTCGTGAGGGACCTGAAAAGGAAAATAGATTAGTGTTGGTCTTAACAACCTGGGAGCGTGACCACAGAGCCCAAGGGACAACTGCTTGAGGCCGGTCACGCACGGCCTTTTTATGAAGGGTTTTTCGAGTATTAGCTCCGCTCTTAAAGGCCCTTAGTGGGCACCCTTACCCAAGGAGACGGAAATCCATGAGGAAGGGTGAGGTGTGACATTTTTAGGGTCACCTTTTTCTAACCCTTTATTCCTTGTGAGAAGGCAACATCGTTGTAGTTGCTTGTTGTCTGAGGGAAACACCTTATTGCTGTCACACCCCTCTACAGTCAGCAGTACGACTTCACCCTCAGACCTTGAGTAGCTGCTTTTATTCTCATCGTTCTGCAATTGACCTGCCTGGCATGGTAGAACCTTCAGGAACATATGTTCCAGTCAGTATAGCTCGGCTGGGTCATCACGATAGACAAGCCCGACCACCACGTCAAGGTAGCAGCTACGGTCAGGATGGTTCGAGGATATTATTCAAGAAGTAGAAACTAGTCAAATAAACTTAAGATAAAGGTGGTGAGGAATTCTGAAGGTTAGGATTTAACAGAACACAAACAGTGCAGGCACCTGAGCCATTGCAAACGGTTATGAGTCATGTCATTCAGAGTCTCTAACTATCGATTACTATCATCTCGAGGGCAACAACCTAGTGGTAGTCGGCATCTACCAACATGACTCAGTCCATTTGTCAGCGACTCCATGGATTTCTACCATGTTTTGGCTTGAATGCCCCTAGCTTTCGTCCAAGTTATTCCTATATCGCAAAATATATCTGGACGAGGCAGTTGGTGGCAAGGCGTACGCAACACATGTCCCAACCACCCCAAATGATGAAGCTTTAATACTTCATTTATTGATCTGCCATCCTTACCTAGCACCCGTTTCCTAACAAAAGCATTGCTTACTTAGTTGTCTCACGATACACGAGCAACGTTTCGGAGACACCTATGACCGAAAAAGAAACAGCGTACGAATATCTTCTGCTCTGACTGACCATGTTTCACAGCCAAATAGTAGGACGGAGCGAACTGCTGCGCAGTACACTCGTCCTTTGGTCAGCAAACGGATATGTCGCCTACGCCAAAAGAGAAGCAGGTGAAATTAAATAAGTACGGGACAGGAGGCGGCAGTAGAGATATTTTCAGAGAAACAAAATAATTTTCTATGATATGTATATATGATCAGGAGAAATTGTTTTATAATATAAGAATATGTAACATGAATAATATACAAGCATAGATTGTAATGTTATCTACCAGAAGTTTAAAGATGACTGTACTGTATCTATCTACTACATGTTACAGAATAAATGATTGAATTAATCTATGTTAACTAATCCTTAAAGATACTGATAGATAGTGATTCAGAATGAGACAAAGAACTGATCTGGCTATGATGAGGAGTTCTGTTCTGTAATCTGGAGCTGGTTTACTCGTGTATAGAACAGTGTTCACTACTTTTATGAACAAAATCTTCAGCACAAAAACTTCAGATCGAAGTGAAGTATTCAGAATTCTTCATATTTCACTTACAACTTATCTTATTGACCTGCATCTGGATTGGTTTATTGTTGACTCTTAGTTTGATTGTCCCCCTTCTCTCAACGAACTTAAAAGAGGTCATCGCGACAAGAACTCCATCTGTAGATCCTCCGGGGTTACTGCCTGTCCAAAGCCCGGGTAAGGGAGAGCTGGGCATGGGGTTAGTAACCCCCCCCAAAAAAAACTAAATCGCTAAATAAACGCTAACAAGAAAAAAATAATTCAAACTATTTAAACCCTGCTCTGGGAATTAGAAGATCTTCATTTAGAAGAGTCAAGACGTCTCATGATGGAAGCCGAGTTCCATCGGAAGTCACGAGACCGATGCCCCTTCTAACAACCGGAACCCTTTCACGATGGGGGCAGCCGGGAAGTAACATGCTTCATTTGGGCTGACAGGCGTAAGTACCATCAAACAATCGAAGCACGCAATCTCTCTGAAGAGTCACATCATCATCATCATCATTCAATACAATTAATCCACTGGAGAAAAAAAACAGTATGCCATGAATCATGTGCAAAGATACATTCATTACATAACCAATATATTTCATTGTTTTATTTTATTCTCAGAATCCCACGTATTCCAATAGTGTAATTATGATGACACACTTTATTGCAGGGGGGTGAGGGCGGCTTGAAGAGAGAGAAACGAATGCATACAATAACAGTTCAGGCAGAGTTTTGGAGGTTTGTGTTTTTTTACACATTTGAAATCATCAATCAATCAATCTTTGTTAGACCACCACCAGTAGGGAAACCTGGAAGCACTGAAAGACGGCCGTTTCGTCCTGGTATGGGACTACTCATCAGTGGCAGTGCGCATCCACGACTCCTGCAACTCGCAGGATTTGAACACGGGAACGCCTAACCATCAGAATACTGGGCGGTGTTAATGTCTAACTCTGATTGACCTACGGATTTCACCCGACCTCACCCATTTGTCTTTTTTGGTAGTAGTTACTGTCTACACCCGACAGGGTTGATGAACTCCATTGGTCCCATCTTCTCAACTAACTAGAACTCCGAGAATTTCCTCACAAAGAAGCTAGTCACTAGTGAGCACTGTGTTAAGGATATATTTTCGGGCAGAGTTTTGGAGATTAGTGTTTTTACACATTTGAAATCATAAATCAATCAATCATTGTCAGACCACCATTAGGGAAACCTGGAAGCACTGAAAGACGGCCGTTTCGTCCTGGTATGGGACTACTCATCAGCAGTGCGCACCCACGACTCCTGCAACTCGCAGGATTCGAACCCGGGAATGCCTTTCCATCGGACCACTGGGCCGGCATCCAACAGTGTTAATGTCTAACTCTGATTGATCTACAGATTTGAAATCATCAATAACAAATAGTTAGTTAGTTCACTTACTGAATTCACTTTCAAGTTCATCATCCAACTGTTGAGTACAACAATTCAATGGATTAGAATTATTCAATTTAGATTTAGTTTCTGTGAATAAACTGTTACAATTATCATTATTATTGGTAAGTTGTTCTTCTTTCAAATTTCGATCAATGATCGAATCGAATATAGTTGTTAGATCCGATGGTAGGCAATGATCTTCTTCATCTCCAACTAACTGATTATTATTATTATTATTATTATTATTATTATTATTGGTAGTAGCAGTAACAGTAGTAGCAGTATGAAGATATCCCGGAGCAATAATATTATCATTATCAGTATCCGGTATAGGTTGTTCAATTGTATCAAATAGTTTATGATAAAAAGAAGAGATTGGCGGCAGTGAGGCGGGAGTTGTATTGAATGATGATTCCATTGTGGATGTTGATAATTCATGATTGTTAAGTGTTAATTTAGCAGACAATTGTAAACTAGTCAATGAAACAAGAAAAAAAAAGAAAACGTTAGAAATTCATGTAAATTTACATGATACAAATGAAAATAGGAGGATTTAACTATGGTTATAAATGTTATTATAATATAATATAAGTTATTGAATAAGCTTTGATCTAATCCGACCGTAGCTGTGACCTCAATGTGGTGGTAGGGCTTGTCTATCGTGATGATCTAACCGAGCTATATCGGCTGGAACATATATATATATACCAGAATGGACAACCACCGACTGCCTCAACGAGTGATGGTTTGAGATGTAGGAGTAGGTTGGATGAAAGCTAGTGGGGGGGGGCAGACCAAAACATGGCACAAATCCATCAAGTCACTGACAACTGAACTGAATCGAATGACATAACTCAAAATCGTTTGCAATGGTGCAGATGCATCCACTCTTTGTGTTCTCTCAAATTCTAACCTTCTAAATTCCTTTATCTTTCTCTTTTTAAGTTTCTTTCCCAAGGTTCAACTTCTTCAATAATATCGTCGAATCCTAAACTCTCTGATTACTACTAATACTTCTACTACCTCTAGTACTATGGGATTTAGAGTGACAATTATATCTATCTCTGTGTGCTAATATGATTTGGCAACTTGAACTGATGTACGTACGTACGAAGTTCTACGTTGCAACTAACTGACTGACTTTCATGGAAGACTAGAATATGAAGTCAGGGTAGGGAGTGACAGATTGTGTTGCATGTTTTTCAGAACATCGACCGAATAGTTCAAAGCCTCATGAAACTCTATACTGAACGATAGTATTGGTCGACTTCACGATTACGTTAAACAAGAAAAATTTCTTAAAAACACCCTATTATCAAATTTTAAGAAATAAGGCAAGTTTTATATGTGCACAGATTATGATTTACTGTTATGACGTAATAATGAGGAGACTGTTCAAATAATATGCTATATGTTTCATAAGTTGACGGAGATCTGCCTTACGTTACAGCTTGAGCGGAAGGGGATTTCGTTTCCAGATCGAAGTCTAAGCAAGAACCAGTAAGAGTAAAGGATATTTGTTGGTTACTGAAAATTTATCGTTGCTCGTATATCCTGGGACTATCGAGTAAGTAACGATAGTGTTAGGAAATGGGTATTAAGTGAGAATGATGAGAATCTTGGACAGTTGAGGTGGCCGAGACACGTGTTACGTAGGCCCGACCACTGACTGTCTCGAAGAGCGATGTTTTGTGGTGTAAGGGTAGGAGGTTGGAAGAAAGCCTGGGGGCGGCCAAACCAAAACATGGAACAAACCCATGAAGTCACTGACAAGCACACCTTGAGTCATGTTAGTAAGTGTAGACTACCTAGTTGGGGTAGGCGAGATGGTAGTAACCGATAGTTGAAGGCTTTGAATGACATGGCTGAAAACCGTTTGCAATGGCGCAGGTGCTATATTGCAGCTGATTGACTAACTGAGCAACCAACGGACTAAAGCTGACTTAAGTATTAAAACAACTGAGGCAGTCCACTTTGTCAAGTATTCTACTGGAGAAACTACATAACAAAAAACACATCTGAAGTAAGATAACGGCTCCAAAAATCAATTTTTCAGTGCAAAAAGAACCTACGGAATGAAGAAATGCAACTAAAAAACGTCCCAAGAAACATAGAATGATCTAACAAGAACGACGTTAGCTGATTTTTGTTACGCGGACGACACCATGTCATTTGATATGCTTGAACTATTACAAGTTCACCTTAGTCGGTAAACCAGAGCGAGAAAATGATCCACTGACACGATAGGCTACTTTATTTCCCAGCGTCTCAAACCAATATTAAGTAGAAGAAGACGAAGAAGACTCGATATGTCAGTCAGTCAGTCAGATGCAACGTAGGAATTCGTACGTAAGTACATCAGTTCATGTTGCCATACCACACCAGCACACAAAGATGCAATTATCAATTCAAATACAATAGTAGAAGAGGTAGTAAAGGTATTAGAAGTAATCGGAGAGGTTGTTAGGATTAGAAGATATTATTCAAGAAGTAAAATTCAGTGAGAAAAGTTTAGAGAGTCGAAACTAGAGGTGTTGAAGAATCCAGAAGATTAGGATTTGAGCGAACACAAAGAATAAATGCACCGGCGCCATTGAAAAAGGGTTTTGAGCCATGTCATACAAGGTCTCTAACCATCGATTATTATCATCTCGCGGACCCCAACCTGGTAGTCGACAACTACCGACATGGCTCAATCCACTTGTCAATGACTACTTCATGGATTTCTGCCATGTTTTGTTTTCGGCCGACCCTAACTTTCTTCCAACGTATTCCTACACTACAAAACAAAGCTCGACGAGGCAGAGAAGACTTGATATGAAGTAGAATGTGTATTCTACAATCATCCAGAAGAGGACAAAGATCCGGGTCCGAGTTATAAGCCGCTATAAGATAATGCATATTTTATACAGTTAGATTAAAAGTAGGAAACAACATTTAAAGTGACATAGATAGTTAGGATTGTAGTGAAGGAGAACACAGGTGAGGGCAACCGAATTGTATTTAACGAAAATTACAGAGTTACTCAGTAAAATAGGAAAACCATATCGTAAATCGTTAATTTGCAAATCTTCAATCCATCATCAATCCATTGTCTGACATTTCACTTATTCATGCATTTCATACAAATTCCATTGTGTTCCCACTCTTCCTTTCTTGATCTTCCCCCATCTTCTGCTGCCAGACATTACGTTTACACTCGCGTCATATACTACTTATAAGTAGCGCGCACCACAGAATGACCAATAGGAATTAAGCAATCAGAGTTGACCAATAGAATTCAACTTACAAACAATTTTAAACATGGATTCCATGTAAAACGTTGATTTATTTCAACAACAGAAAAATGACAATACAGAATCACCACTTACGGTACACATGAAACATTTTTATGCATCCAATCATCATCAGCAGCAGCAACATCAATTTCCGTGAAATTCTTATTTGTCCAATGAGGTGCATAGAATAGAAATAAATTCACCAATAATTCATGATCAATATTCTGTTGTATTAAAAAATCATCATTTGAATTTGTTTGTTGCTCTGTATTACAGATTATGATGCGTAATTCTAATTGATACATTGAATTGGTGTTGGTGTTGATGAGTGAACAAGAAAGAGGATTACTTTCTTGACATTGTATACCACTACTACTACTACTACTACTAGTAGTACTACTACTACTACTTCGACTACTGTTATTATTACTGCCAATCATTTGACTAGCATTCATATCAAGTGTATCACTGATGCGTTTACTACTACTATTATGATCAACAGTTGTATTGATGTTTGTTGTTGTTTGTGTAAAACCATGTAGACAAAAATTTAAAAGATACGCACGTAATTCACCAAAAGTGACATTACCATGTACAATTAAATTGAGTGTTACTACGCATTTGTCATTAGTTAAATAAATTTGTTTATAATTATAAATTAAATCATGATCCGTGTAATTCATATTATTATGATTATCATTGTGATTAGTTGTATGCAATAATGATGGTAAACCATGACATGTGACTTTGATGAGAAATGATGAACCAATCCATGAACTATATGAAATGGGAATGAACCAGAAACGAAAAGAAAAGGTAGAGACAGAGTGGGAAGGAGGGAAAAATAAGGGAAAACAATGTAAATAAGCACAGTTTAAAGCATGAATTGATTTTACCTAATGAGTCATGTTGGTAGGTGTCCACTACCTCCTACCTAGTTGGAGCTCACGAGATGATTGATTGGTTAGAGACCTCGAATGACATGGCTTGAAATCATTTGCATCGGCGCAGGTGCATTCAGACTTTGGGTTATCTGAATTCTCCTCATCACCTTTATCTTTTTCTTTTTAAGTTAATTTCACTAGATTCTACTTCTTGAATAATATCATCGAACCATAATCTCTTCGATTACTGCTAATATATCTACTATTGCTACTACTACAGGATTCGAACTGACAGTTGCGTCTCTTTGTCAGTGTGGTACCTCAACTGGTGCCTAACCACCGACTACCCCGAAGAGCGATATTTTGTGGTTTAGGAATAGGTTGGAAGAAAGCTAGGGGCTTTCAAGCCAAAACATAGCACAAATCCATGGAATCACTGAAGATAACTGGACTGAGTCACGTCGGTAGGTGTCGACCACCTGGCTAAGGTCCGTGAGACGAAAGTCACCAATGGTTAGAGACCTTGAACGACATGGGTCAACATCGTTTACAATGGCGCAGGTGCATTCACTCTTTGTGTGCTTTTTAATTCTAACCTCCTGAATTCCTCATCATCTCTATCATTCTCTTTCTAAATTTATCTCAGTGAATTAAACTTTACTAATCATTTCTTCGCCCCCTAATCTCTTCGATTACTGCTAATATTCCTACTATTGCTACTACTATCGGATTCGAACTGACAGTTGTGTCTCTTTGCCAATGTGGTATGGCAACCTGAACTGATGTACGTATGTACGTACAAAATTCTACGTTGTAACTGACTGACTGACTACTCAAGTGCAATCAGATATAATTCACCATTTGATGAATAACACTTGTGATTTTGGTTATAAGAATATAGCGAAGCGAGAATCGGAATTACACATATTAAAAGGAATGAATAGGCCATTGATAACAAATACGAAGGATATAGTTGACTGGAGAATCCTAGTTGGCAACTTATGCTCCAAGTGCGGTAACAAACGTATGAAAGTAGGTAATACAAATGAATTAGAATCTAACCCATTGCACAAGATACTAGGTCACGTGAACTCAGTAGTAAAGGTACTTGGGTACCGGGTTTCCGCTGAAATATCAATTCTGAAATGCGGATATATTCGTACTTATAGATAATGTGTGATTTTTCCCAGATAAGTTAATTTGATTTAAACGAATTTTTCACCTCAACATTTTGTCACTTACCGTCGAGGCAGTCGGTAAATAACCAACTACTACCCCGACGAGCAATGTTTTGTGGTTCAGGAGTAGGTTGGAAGAAAGCTATGGGCGGCACATATCCATGAAATCACTAACAAATGAACTGAATCATATTGGTAGATGTAGGCTACCTGGTTGTGGTCCACGAGACGGAAGTCACCAATGGTTAGAGACCTTGAAAGACATGACTCAACATCGTTTACAATGGCGCAAGTGCATTCACTCTTTGTGTTCTGTCAAATGCTAACCTTCTGAATTCCTCATCATCTCTATCTTTCTCTTTCTAAAGTTATTTCACTGAATTATACTTCTCCAATCACATCTTCGAATCATAATCTTCTCGATTACCACTCTGGTATTCGAACTGACGGTTGCGTCTCCTTGCCAATGTGGTATGGCAACTTGAACTGATGTACGTACGTATGCACGAAGTTCTGCGTTGTATCTGTCTGTATGCGTGTGTGTGTGTCTGTCTATCACTTACATGTTGTACCATTAAAACAAAACAGAACAAAAAACATTTGAAACAAACAAACAGACAAAAATAAAACGTACCGTTTCAATGGAATACAATCAGCATCAGCCACATGTGTATTTGTAAGGAACATTTCTAAATTCATACTAATGGTAAATCGTTTTAATAATTTCAAAACACGTAATATACGTTTGAATGTAGTTGACTGGATTTTTGGATCACATGATAAGGAATTATTAGTAGGTGACGATAACGGTGATGAGATTGTTCCAGTGCAATTCGTTTGTTTTTTAATAGAAGAAATCAACTGACGAAAATCAATGGGAGAAATAAAAGGATAAAAAAATGAGTAAATTTTTGGTGATGACCTCGGTTTTTGTTTTTGAGGAGTAGTGGTGGAAATAACATTAAGACATTTTATACAAGGAATAAACTAAGATTGATTGGCGAAGTCAATCGTTTCCACTAATGCATTTCATAATCTTAGGCGTTTACAACATTACTCACTAATGATTAGCCGCCCCTTTATCTTTCTCAAGTTATTTCTGTTACGCTGGCACGTAAACACGTCAACTTGATATGCTTGAACTATTACGAGTTTACTTAGTGGGAAAACGAGCGTGAGGGCCGAGGATCCAGTGACACGACATGCTACTCAAATCCGATTATCCATATCCAGAAGAGAATTAGGATCCTGGACTAGGGATCCGGGACCGGGTCCTGGTCATAGTCATAAAACGTTACACATAATGCGTATTTATACATTTTGGTAGAATAGGAAACAGCATCGAAGTCTGTAACATTGACAGTTAAGACGACCAATAGGAAGCAACATTTGAAGTGACATTGATAGTCAGGACATCTAATAAGAAACGACATCGGAGCACGTGACACTGATATCTAGGACGACCATAAAATTGACCAGTAGGAATTAACGAATAATTCTCTTAGGATATTAGATGAATATCCTAACAATTTCACTGAATTATACTTCTTGAGTAACATCTCCGATCCCTAATATACTTCATTACCAGTAATTCTTCTACAATCTCTATCACTATGGGATTTGAATTGACAATTGCATCTCTTTGTGCTATTATGGTATGCCGACCAGAACTGATGTAAGTAAGTACGAAGTTCTGCGCTGTAGCCGGCTCACTGAATGTGTGTGTATAGCACTGCTGAGAAATCCGATACTCATAAGACGACAGTCTAGCAGTTCAGTTCAGTTGTATTTTTGCATTAACATCAATGAAAATTTCTATCAGTGGTAAACATCAAAGGATAAGTGAAAACAATGTCACTAATTAGAGCAACAAGGTGCTATCAATACTTTGAATTAAGAACAAAAGTGACTAGAATGCTGTCATATAACCATGTGTACACAGCCAATAACAACGAAATTGTACACTCTGACTTGTCGTTCCCGAGCTATTGTATAAACCAAATTTAAAAGGAGGAAAAACAAATGTCCGACAAAGGCTCAAACAGTGTCGGGGGCAGTTCGAAAACCTTCATTCAAAAACCAATGATGCACATACACTACAGAATCTGGATGGAAAATAATGACGTACCTACTACCATAGTGCTTATCACTACTTTGTTGATTGGAATTTAGGATTAAAAGCCTGGAGAGTAACCTTCTAAGAATATCACCTGTGACGGTTTGTGCACTCGAAGGGGAAGTATCCAAGCCCGCATACAGCCAATGATTTGTATGGCGCATAAACATTTAGGTACCTCTTGTTATACCAATGTTTGTGTGTTCAATTGAATAAAATATATATGTAGCATAATGCTTACTGATACTAACTATTTGAATTACGGGGTTGTGAAGATTTGAAATCATGGATCGATCAATGTTAGACTACCATTAGAAATCTGAAAGACAACCGTTTCGTCCTGGTATGGGACTCATCAATGTGTGCATCTACGACTCCTGCTACTACTAGCAGGATTCGAATGCAGGACTTAATTATTTGATCAAGATGAAATACTAATCAACCAATTTTTTGATCAAAAACTTCTCTCATTGAAAATAGATATCCGTTTGCTGACTAAAGGACGAGTGTACTGTGCAGTGGTTCGCTCCGTCTTACTTTATGGCTGTGAAACATGGCCAGTGAGAGTAGAAGACATTCATAGGTTACTGGTTTTCGATCATAGGTGTCTTCGAAGCATTGCTCGTATATCCTGGGACACCTGAGTGAGCAACGCTGTTATTAGGAAGCAGGTGCTAGGTAAGAATGGCAGATCAATCGATGAAGTATTGAAACTTCATCAGTTGAGGTGGTTGGTACATGTGCTGCGTATGCCTAACCACCGACTGCCTCGAAGAGCTTTGTTTTGTAGTGTAGAAATAGGTTGGAAGAAAGCTGGGGGAGGCCAAACCAAAACATGGCATAAATCCATGAAGTCATTGACGAGTGGACTGAGCCATGCCAGTAATTGTCGACTACCAGGTTGGGGTCCGCGAGATGTTAGTAATCGATGATTAGAGAGACCCTGAATGACATGGCTGAAAATCGTTCGCAATGGCGCCAATGCATTTATTCTTTATGTTCTCTCAAATCCTAATCTTCTGGATTCTTCAACACCTCTAGTTTTGTCTTTCTAAACTTTTCTCACTGAATCATACTTCTTGAATAATAATATCTTCTAATCCTAACCTCTCCGATTACTTCTAATACCTTTACTACCTCTTCTACTATATTGTATTTGAATTGACAATTACATCTCTGTGTGCTAATGTGGCATGGCAACATGAACTGATGATGTACTTACTTACATACGAAGTTCTACGTTGCATCTTACTGACTGACTCATTGAACATTGAATAAGTAGGACAAATTATATTATTGCAAAAATTTAACATGATAAAAATAGTAATTTTAAAAAAAAATACCCAAGGCAATTAATTACAACCAAAAAACAAACAAACCTCATTTAATGCAATTTTAATATGTGTATAACATAATTTCACAAGATCATAGCATAATTTTTTACGTTGATTCAAATTACTACTATTATTATTATTATTCCAGTAGTAATTCATATATAATTGTAATAATAATTTGCATAATTTATAATAAACTGATTTCTTTGAATATAAAATAAAATTCCACAATTGTTTTAAATTAATTAATTTAATACTTATATCACCATTATTAGTAGTAGTATGTGTAGTGGTAGTGGTAGTAGTTAAAGCTGTTTGATTCATCCCAGTAGTTGTTGTCATATCTGTTATATTCGGGACAGGAGTATTCGTTGTATTTACAAGTTTAGATGATACTGACGTGGAAGATGCTGATGTCATTGATATCAAGTTAATTGTATTATGCATGGGATTGAATTCACTGATGATACATGTGCTATCTGAATTAATACGATAAAATAATTGAACAACAAATCTAATGTGTCGACGACGAGGATGAGGCAGGACGAGTAAAAATCAAATGGGATATGAGTAGGGGACAAAAAACAAAGGGAACAAATAGAGAAATGCCATTATAAATAAGAAAGTAAAGAATATTTTTATTTTATAACAATGTATCACTAAAAACAAAAGTAATTTTATCATTGACAGTTCGATAATGCTTGGTTGTCATCAGACCACCACTATCAATAATGGGACTTCTCAGGACTGGACATACACATAACCCACAGTAAGCGAGAATCGAACCTAGGGGCGTACAGTCTGGCGGCGCATGAACGCTTAGCCTACTGACCTCACTGAGTCAGCATTCAAGAAGGAAAGCTGCAGACAATCGTTGAACATGATGAGGAACAATACATAAAGAAAATGTTTGTTGAAAATATTCGAATTTCTAGTGAATATAAGTTTGTGTATTACAAGAACTGATGAATTACGGGTGAAGAGTGTAAGGGAATTGTGGTGGTGTTTCATTCTCTGGTCGTATTCTGAACAACATCGTTATCAGCACAAACTTCAGATAGCAGAAGTGAAGTATTTGAATCTCTCCACGTTAGACCTGTAGCTTGTTCTGTTAACCTCGATCTTGATTGGTTGTTGCCGACCTTACATCTGTCGTTGTTTGCAACTTTGTTTTGATTGTATCCCTCTTTTGATCTGTTTCTTGACCCTGTATCACCTATGATTTTTCTGATTGGTTGATAAGTTGACACAGTATCAAGGAACAGATCAAAAGGTGGGTGCAATTAAAACAAAGGTGCAAACAACGACAGGTCAAAAGTCAACAGCAACCAATCAAGATCGAGGTTAGCAGAATAAGCTACAGGTCAAACGTGGAGAGATTCAAATACTTCACTTCTGCTATCTGAAGTTTGTGCTGATGATGTGGTTCATAAGAAGATGAATGAAAGCTCCAAAACCAAAACATCCAGCTCAGAGAACGAAACACCACCACAATCATCCACCTGAGCTACAAGTTTTCTCCACCATCTCAAAATGTTCGTAAATCTTGTCAACTGAGTTGAGTACGGAGAATCTGAATTTTAACTTTTCATCAATCAAGTAAATTTTGGTATTTTTCTGCTTATTTAGTAGTGTATCACAAAAGAAATATCCTTTTTCACTGGGGATTTGATTACTTAACAGTATTTTCACTGTTTCAACATATAAAACTTTAAAACTATTTATTTAATGGCTGTACTGGTACTATTTTTTCAATATTCATTAGTCATTTCAATCCTAAAACAAACTTTAGGGTTTAATAAATGACCTACATTTACTTGGCCGCCATCGAATTCCATGAGTGGTGTATGTATTACTCATAAAGTGACGTATGAGAAGTATGCAGTGAGATGTCGTCCGGAAATTATTGTTGAAGACAAGTGTGTTGGATCCGAGTGTATGGCGCCCGACCGTAGCTTCTACTTTGACGTGGTGGTTAGGCTTGCCTATCGTGATGATCCAATCGAGCTATACTGGCTGGAACTTATGTTCCTGAAGGTTCTACCATGCCAGGTAGGTCGATTGAAGGACAATCAGACTAAAAGCAGCTACTCAAGGTCTGAGGGCGAAGTCGTACTGATGATTGACTGCAGAGGGGTGTGACAGCAGTAAGGTGTTTCCCTCGGACAACAAGCAGCATCTGCAGCGATGCTGACTTCTCACAAGGAAGGAAAGGAAGGGTTAGAAAAGGTCGACCCTAAAAATGTCACACCTTACCCTACCTCACGAGTGCCCACTAAGGGCTTTCAAGAGCGGAGCTAATACTCGAAAAACCTTTCATCAAAAGGCCGTGTGTGACCGGCCTGAAGCAGTTGTCCCTTGGGCTCTGTGGTCACGCACCCAGGTCTCTAAGACCAACACTAATCTATCTTCCTTTTCAGGTTCCTCAAGAAACACCCTTCCACGGTGTGGGCAGCCTGGAAGTGACAACCATCCTCATACCCGTAACAGCACGCGAGACCGAATCTGTGAAGATCATATCCTTCCTACTGACTGATTGAGTGTATGGCGTGAAAAGTGTTTAGAAGACCAGAGGAAATGTGGAAAACGACAACTGATAATCCGCTTGTTTTTCAAATGGATGATTGATGATTAGGTGTGTATATTTTAGTAAATGGACTGTGTCTTCGTCAAATCAATCACTTATCTGGTCATACCGCCTATGTTAATTATATCCGGTACAGATAAGAGTAAAATAAATTCGCTATCTCTCTAAACACTCTCATACTCTTTGACTAGACGTCACAGGGTTATTGCTTACCGAAAAGAGAGGAAGAAAAGTGAGTAACCGACAACGGATTAAACCACGTTGGTGCGTTGTTACGCCTGCACGTATACACGTAAACTTGATATACTTGAACTATTACGAGTTTACCTTAGTCGGAAAACGAGAGCGAGGATCCGGCGACACGACATGCTACTCAAATCCGATTATCCCAACCGCCATATTGAGTGAAAATAAGAAGACAAGACTTGAATGTGAAGTAGAACGTGTATTCTACAAGCATTCAGAAAGTACGAGGTCCGAATCCAGAAGAGAATCAGGATCCCGGACTAGGGATCCGGGACCGAGCCCTGGTCCTGGTCATAAAACGTTACAGATAATGCATTTTGGTCAAATAGGAAACAGCATCGAATTCTGTGACATTGACAGTTAAGACGACCAATAGGAAGTAACATTTGAAGTGACATTGATAGTCTGGACAATCAATAAGAAACAACATTGGAGCACGTGACATTGATATCTAGGACGACCATAAAATTGACCAATAAGAATTAACCAATAGGAATTGAACATTAATTCTCTTAGGATATTGGATGAATATCCTAACATGCCTACAGACGATACACCTGGATGAGTTCGAATACCATCATTCAAAATCATTAGCGCACAAGAACTCTGTGATCTTCATGGAAAAAAATTATTGTTAGTCACCGTTTACCATTTGAATACATCTAGTTGATTAGACTTTTGGATCAAAAGCTCCGAGAGTGCCCACTTAATATAAAACCACGGTTTGTGCACTCGAGCATTATTCCAGCCCGCATACAGTCAAAGATTTGTGTGTACCAATGTTCATGCGTTTAAATACATACATTGAAATCATGAATCAAACATTATTAGACCAATATTAGAAACCGGAGAGCACTAAAAGACGGCCATTTCCTCCTGCCTAAAGTATGAAACTATTACTCATCGGTGGCAGTACGCATCCACTGCTCCTGCCTACTTACAGGATTCAAATCCACGACCTTCGATCTTACGCGCGAACGCCTAACCTTTGGGCCACTAGCGTTAATGTCCAAATCTGACACATCTAGATATTTATCAAAAAAATATTTAATGACAATAATATTAATAATAATAATAATAATAATAAAAACTAACTCTACACCAGCAGTATTTGTAATTAATTTCGGATTTAATGCAGAATAATTATCCCAAATAAAATCACGACATTTAAACCAAATTGAATCATTAAAAAATAATAATAATAATGTAAACCATTTAAAGCATAAATCACAATCTTGTGGTAAAACAATTTGATGTTGAAATTTTAATAAAATCTCTTTAGGCACCACCATCACGGTAAATTGTGGTTGAAATGTTGGCTTCATTAATGAATCCCATATTTGTTGTAATAAATCCACTGTATATGATGATAAATGACATTTAATAATAAGATAACGTAAAAGTTTTAATAATTCTTTAACTATGATTATTTTTAAATCCGACTGGGCATTTTCTGATGATGTATTATTCATTGAATGTGATGGAGAAGATTTCAATGTAGTCGAGTGATCTGTAATGAAGAAATAAAATTACAGATAATTAACGATACTACTTGTAAGTAGGCAAAAGGATAATACTAAAAAGTAGTATTTACTCGACGGTCATTTTTTATTGGTGATTCTCGACTGATAACATAACGAATAACAACGTTATTCGGGCTATCAAAATACCTTTGGACTTATATTCTATGCACAAAATAATACCTTCCTCATATTGTCAAGTTGGATTGGCTTCTTTTCAAGTAGGTTAAGAAATTGAAACGATTTTGAAATTTTTTTCATTAAATATAGTTTGAGCAAACAACAGATGATATCTATCACACAGTTTTATAAAAAGATAATCTCAACTGAGGAAAAGTAGTTAGAAAAAATAAATTGGCATGCAGCAAGCAGTGTCACTTCATCCCAAAGCTTAGAACTACTCAGTAGTGTGCATAGTGGATACATACATACATAGTGGATCGAAATACAGACATCTGTTATGGATTAAAACAGACACTTTCAATGATGTTAGTTAAATATGCTGAAAATTATGGAGAAATCAATCGTTAAACTATTCAAGAGGAGAAGAATAATTAATTTTCCGAAAAAATTACAAGCAATTATAATATATCTGTGTTAGGATATTCATCAAATATCTCCTACAAGAATTAGTTTTGTAAATCTATAATCCTATTGGTCAATTCCTACTAGTTAATATTATGATCGTCCTAGCTATCGATGTCATGTACTTCAATGTCGTCTTAACTGTCAATGTTACAGACTTTAATGTTGTTTCCTATTCAACCTAACTGGATAAATACGCGTTGTCTGTAACATTTTATGACCTGGAACCAGATCAATAGTCCAGCGATGCTTTGTGGTGTGGAAGTAGGATGGAAGAAAGCTAGAAGCGTTCAAAGCAAAACATGGCACAAATCCATGATAAGTGGACTGAGTCATGTTGGTAGATATAGGCTACCTGGTTGGGGTCTGCGAGACGCATGTCACCAATGGTTAGAGATCTTGAACGACATGACTCAGAATCGTTTGCAATGGCGCAAGTGGATCCACTCTTTGTGTTCTCTCTGATTCTAACCTTCTGAATTCCTCATCATCTCTATTTTTCTCTTTCTAAATTTATCTTACTGAATTATACTTCTTGAACAAAATCTTCGCTACCTAATCTTCTCCATTACCGCTAATACTTCTACTATCTCTACCACTATGGGATTTGAATTGGTAGTAGTCGCATCTCTTTGTGCTAATGTGGTATGGTAATCTGAACTGATGAACGCACGTACGTATGACATTTTACATTGTAACTGACTGAATATATTAGACATATATATATATATATATATATATATATATATATCGAAAGTCAATGTCATTCATTGATGAAAACACGCACACGCACACACATACACACAATGACAAAAATGTAAATCCAGCCCAAAATTTCTTAAAAAAAAGTAAAACACAATCATTGAATAATCATCAAAAAAGAAAGGAAAACAACACAAATCGAAGCAACAAGGATACACACCTTTAAACCAGATCACCAGATCACATGGTACACTGGTAGGTGTGTGTCTGCGTGCGTGCGTATTGTGCTACTTGTTCACGTGTCCTTCTCTTTTTTGGATTGTTCAAAAGTGAATTATTGATAGATTTGTAGGTATTATATGAGATTTCTAAATGCATACTGTACATGTTCAGTATAAACTGTTTCTTATTTTTAACGATTGTCGATTATGAATTACTAGTAGTTGCACACTTTGTATTAATTATATACTCGCGTTAAAGACAGAAAAGACTACTAAATTTTCTTTGTTTATTATTACTGAAACTTGGAGAACTATGAAACAGCCATTATCCTGAAGATACAGGCATTGATAAACAGTTGTTTACACAAAATACTTCGGATTCGTTGGCCAGGTACAGTCAGCAACAACTGACCGTGAGAAAGAGAACAAATCAGATTTCAGAGGAGGAGGAGGAGGAGGAGATCAGCAAGAAGCGCTGGAAGAGGATAGCACACACACCCAACTGCATCACAAGACAAGGTCTCACTTAGAACCCTCAAGGTGAATCGAAAAGAGGAAGGCCAAGAAACACATTACGCCGAGAAACAGAGAAAGACAATTGGAGAGAATTGGGAAGAGAAGTGCAGGACAGAGTAGGATGCAGAGCACTGGTCGGCGGCCTATGCTCCATTGGAGGTGACAAGCGTAAGTAAGTAGGCTTTATTTACTTTAACCTCTATTTTATCATTTATTGTTCATGATCTAGACAACTAAACAAAAGATCGAGGATACTGATAATGTGGTGCGCGCTACTTATAAGTAGTATATGACGCGAGTAAAAACGTAATGTCTGACAGAAGAAGATGAGGGAAGATCAAGAAAGGAAGAGTGGGAACACAATGGAATTTGTATGAAACGAATGAATAAGTGAAATGTCAGACAATCGATTGATGATGGATTGAAGATTTGCAAATGAACGATTTACGATATGGTTTTCCTATTTTACTGAGTAACTCTGTAATTTTCGTTAAATACAATTCGGTTGCCCTCACCTGTGTTCTCCTTCACTACAATAATATAGAAGACTAATCAGAAATGGATAAACGGTAAGGTTAGCAATCGCGACTGCTGCAACTCGCAGGATTCGAACCCAAGATCTTTGGTCTTCTGTAAGGGTCACAGCTTCTCATTAGAACTTGGAGAAACTTCGGCACGGCGCTAGTCACTAATGAGCACATGGCTATTTACATGTGCCAGTGCTGCCAGGTTTCTAACGTTGGCGTAAAACATTGGTCAAATGATGATTTCAAAAAGTAACTCAACAATTTTCACAACCAAATCATGCAAAATGGTAAGGTCACTACTACTTGACGACAATCAGAAATGTCTTAAAGCACAAGTGCACATCATTAGTCAGGAAATGGATTTATTTTCTAAGGGTGAGGAATATAATACAAACATAAATGAAAATTGATACACGTTATTCAGTAATCAAATAGAGACTTCCTCTTCTGCTCTTGCCTTTTTAATTAAGTAACCAGCTAGCACGTATCACTTTCACAGACAGACAGATAAAACGCAGAACTTCGTACGTAAGTATATCAGTTCAGGTTGCCATACAACATCAGCACAGAGATGCAACTGTCAGTTCAAATCCGAGAGTGATAGCGATAGTAGAAGTATTAGCAGTGATGGAGAAGATTGGGGAGTGAAGATATGATTCGAGAAGTATAATTCAGTAAGATAAATTTAGAAGGAGAAAGGTAGAGATGATGACGAATTCAGAAGCTTAAAATTTCATAGAACACAAAGAGTGGATGCACCTGCGCCATTGCAAACGATTTTCAGCCATGTCGTTGTTCAAGGTCTCTAACCATTGATGACTTTCGTCTCGCGGACCCCAACCAGGTAGCCTACATCTACCAACATGACTCAGTCCACTTGTCAGTGACTTCATGGATTTCTGCCATGTTTTAGTTTGGTCGCCCCTAGCTTTCTTCCAATCTACTCCTACACCAAAAAACAGCTCGTCGCACATATATATAATCTTAGTTGATGTTAATATTCTATAGAAGTGTAAAGTGTTTACTTTTGTATACTAGTCAAAAACTCAGTCAGTCGGCTACAAAGTTGCCATACTAAATTAGTACAGACAGATGTAATTGTCAATTCAAATACCATAGTGGTAGAGGTAACAGTAGTAGTGTGGTGCTGTGGTGCGAGCTACTTATAAGTAGTATGTGACGTGAGTATCAACGTAATGTCTGGCAGCAAAAGATGGGGGGAAGATCAAGAAAGGAAGAGTTAGAAAACAATGGAATTTGTATGAAACGCATGAATAGTGACAATGGATTGATGTTTGGCAACAGTAACAGTCCAGTTCGATATGATGATGAACTGATATTTTGCAAATTAACGATTTACGATATGGTTTTCCGATTTTACTGAGTAACTCTGTAATTTTCGTTAAATATAATTCGGTTGCCCCACCTGTGTTCTCGTTCACTGCAGTAGTAGTGGTATTAATAGAATTAACGGTAACGGAGCGTTCGAAGATATTGTTCAAGAAATATAATCTAGTGACATAAATGTAAACAGAGAAAGATAAATGTCATTACGGATAGAGAAGATTAGACTTTGAGAGAAGACCAAGAGTGAATGTACCTACGTCATTGAGTTACGTCATTCAAAGTCTATAAATATCGATTACTGTCATCTAGTGAACCCCAACCAAGTAGTCTAAACTAACCAACATGACTCAGTCCAATTGCCAGCGGCTTCATGGACTTGTGCTATGTTTTGGTTTGGTCACTACTGGCTTTCTTCTAGCCTACTACAGTAGGCTCATCCCCGATGTTTTTAAAGATAGTGGTCCAATTTTAACAGTTAGATTAACCGAGATCTTAGGTAGAATCTGAGCGTAATCCCATCTGACTTACAAGAAAGGATAAAAGTCCTCATGAAACGATCACTGGGGGAATAAGTCCAACTAAAATAGTGTCGAAAATATTGGCCTCCATAATATTTCGACGCTGAACGAAAGTTCACGAAGAACAGACTAGAGAATACCAGGCTCCTTTTCGACCTGGACGTGAATGTATAGACCAAATATTCACACTATGTCAGGCCCTAGAAGAAAGACACTCGCTCAGAGGCCCCACAATACAAGTACTTCTCGACCTTAAAACGGCATTCGACTATGTTGATCGTGAGATTCTGTGGCATTATCTGTGATTGAAAGGTGTACTAAAGAAGTACATCAACCTTAGGCAAGCTCTTTACTATAACACTACCGGTAGAGTTAAAGCTTACGGCGAACTGTCATCGGAATTGATTACTTCAAGTGGTGTCCGTCAGGGAAGTCCACTCTCTATATCCTTGTACAACTTTGTCGTAGACATACTGTTAGGGTTGACAATATCCTCGTCAGATTCTTCAGGGGTGGACCTTCTACCAGGAGACATG